GTATCAAACACTGTATATCTATCTAAATTCAATAACTCTACATAACAATATATAAGTCTATATAACCGTATATATCACTATATAACTATATATAATCAATAACACTTCTTAACTATATATAAATCTAAATAACCGTATATATCACTATATAACTATATAACTATAAATAATCAATAACACTATATAACTATATATTAACCTATGGAATGGTATGGTATAGAGAATTTATATAGCGCCCTTCTATGTAAAACTCAAAGGCGCTCTTCGAGTTGCTGCCGGTCAAAAACGTGAACGGTATATATCACTATATAACTACACATAATCAATATCACTATATTACTATAAATAAATCTATATAACCGTATATATCACTAAATAACTATATATAATCAATAACTCTTCATAACTATATATAAATCTATATAACCGTATATATCAGTATATAACTACATATAATCAATAACACTTTATAACTATATATAAATCTATGGTATGGCATGGTATAGAGAATTTATATAGCGCCCTTCTATGTAAAACTCCGAGTCGCTGTTCGAGAAGCTGCCGGTCAAAAAAGTGAACCGTATATATCACTATATAACTACATATAACCAAAAACACTATATAACTATATAAAAATATATATAGCCCTATATATCACTACATAACTATATATAATTATTAACTCTATAGAAATCTAACACTATATGACTATCAATATTCAATAACTCTACATAACAATATATAAGTTTATATAACCGTATATAACACTATATATAATCAATAGCTCTTCATAGCTATATATAAATCTAAATAACCGTATATATCACTATATAACTATATAACTATATATAATCAAGTACACTATATAACTATATATAAATCTATGGTTTGGTATGGTATGGTATAGAGAATTTATATAGCGCCCTTCTATGTAAAACTCAGTGGCGCTGTTCGAGTAGCTGCCAGTCAAAAAAGTGAACCGTGTATATCACTATATAACTACATATAATCAATAACGCTATATAACTTTATATGAAAATATATAACGTATATATCACTACATAACAATATATAATCAATAACTCTATTTAAATCTATATAACCGTATATAACACTGTATGTTTATCTATATTCAATAACTCTACATAACTATATATAAAACTTTATTACCCTATATAACACTATATGACCATATATATCTATTAACTCTACATATATTTATATAAATCTATGGAATGGTATGGTATAGAAAATTTATATAGAGCCCTTCTATGTAAAACTCAGAGGCGCTGTTCAAAAAGCTGCCGGTTATATGTAGTTATATAGTGATATATAAGGTTCAATTTGTGACCGGCTGCTTTTATAACTATATAAAAATTTATGGTATGGTGTGGTATAGAGAATTTATATTGCGCCCTTCTATGTAAAACTTAGAGGCGCAGTTCGAGATGCTGACGGCCAAAAAAGTGAACAGTATATATCACTATATAACTACATATAATCAATAACACTATATAACTATATTTAAATATATATAACCGTATATATCACTACATAACTATCTATAATCAATAACTCTGCATAACTATATATAAATTTATATAACGGTATATCTCCGTATATAACTATTTATAATCAATAACACTATATAACTGTATATAAATCTATATAACGGTATATAACACTATATAACTATAAATATTCAATAAATCTTCATAACTATATATAAATCTATATAACCGTAATAACACTAAATGACAATCTATATTCAATAACTCTACATAACTATATATAAATTAATATAACCGTATATATCACTATGTAACTATATGTAATCTATAACATATATAACTGTATATAAATCTAAGGTATGGTATAGAAAATTATATACCGCCCTTCTATGTAAAACTAAGAGGCGCTGTTTGAAAAGCTGCCAGTTCGACTAGTTATATAGTGATATATACGGTTCACTTTTGTGACCGGCAGCTTTTATAACAATATAAATATATATATATATATATATATATATATATAACCGTATATATCACTACATAACTATATATAATCAATCACTCTATATAACTATATATCAATTTATATAACCGAATATATCACTACATATTTATAAATATTCAATAACAAAAACACTATATAAATGTAAATAAATCTATTTAACCGTATATATCCCTATATAACAACATATAACCAATAACACTATATAACTATATATAAATCTATATAACCGTATATAACAACTTATGACTATCTATATTCAATAACTCTACATAACTATATATAAATCTATATAACCGTATATATCACTATATAACTATATATAATCAATAATTCTACATAACTATATTTAAATCTATATAACCGTTTATATCACTATATAACTATATATAATCAATAACTCTACATGTCTGTACATTAATCTTTATAATCGTAAATATCTCTATATAACTACATATAATCATTATCACTATATAACGATATATAAATTTATATAACCGTATATATCACTACATAACTATATATAATCAATAACTCTACATAACCATATATAAATTTATATAACCGTATCTATCACTATATAACTAAATATAATCAATATCACTATATAACTGTTGATAAATCTATATAACCGTTTATATCACAATAAAACTACATATGATAAATAATACTCTATACCTAAATTTAAATCTATAAAACCGTGTATAACACTATATGACTATATATATTCAATAAATCTACATAACATTATATAAATCTATATAACCGTATATACAACTATAAAACGACATATAATCAATAACACTATATAACTATATATAAATCTATATAACCGTATATAACATTATACGACTATATATATTCACTAACTGTACATAACTATATATAAATCTATATAACCGTATTTAACACTATATGACTATATATATTCAAAAACTCTACATAACTATATACAAATTTATATAACCGTATATAACACTGTATGACTATCTATATTCAATAACTTTACATAACTATATATAAGTCACTATAACCATATATATCACTACATAACTATATATAATCTATAATTCTACTTAACTATATATAAATCTATATAACCGTACATATCACTATATATCTATATTTAATCAATAACACAATAAAACTATATATAAATCATTGGTATCGTATAGAGAATTTATATTGTGCCTTTCTGTGTGAAACTCAAATGAGCTTTTCGAGAAGCTGCCGGTCACAAAAGTGAACCGTATATACCACTATATAACTACAAATAATCAATAACACTCTATAAATATAAATAAATCTATGGTATGGTATGGTATAAAGAATTTGTATAGCGCTTTTCTATGTAAAACTCAGTTGCTGTTCGAGAAGCAGCCGGTCAAAAAAGTAAACCGTGTATATCACTATATAACTACATATAATCATCAACACTATATAACTATATATAAATTTTTATAACCGTATATATCACTACATATCTATATATAATGAATAACTTTACATAACTATATATAAATTTATATAACCGTATACATCACTATAAAACTATATATAATCAATAACTCTATATATCTGTATATAAATCTATATAACGGTATATATCACTATATAACTACATATAATCAATATCACTATATAACTATATATAAATCTATATAACCCTATACAACACTATATGACTATATGTATTCAATAATTCTACATAACTATATATAAATCTATATTACCCTATATAACACTATATGACTATATATATTCAATAACTCTACATAACTATATATAAATCTATGGTATGGTATGGTATAGAGAATTTATATACCGCCCTTCTATTTAAAACTCAGAGGCGCTGTTCGAAAAACTGCCGGTTCTATGTAGTTATATAGTGATATATACGGTTCACTTTTGACCGGCCGCTTTTATAACTATATAAAAATCTATGGTATGGTATATATCACTATATAGCTACATACAATCAATAACATTATATAACTATATATAAATATATATAACCGTATATATCACTACATAACTATATATAATCAATCACTCTACATAACTATATATAAATTTATATAACCGTATATATCACTATATAACTATATATATTCAATAACACTATATAACTGTAAATAAATCTTTTTAACCGTATATTACAATATATAACTACATATAATCAATAACACTATATAACTATATATAAATCTATATAACCGTATATAACACTATATGACTATCTATATTCAATAACTCTACATAACTATATATAAATCTATATAACCGTATATATCACTATATAACTTTATATAATCAATAATTCTACATTACTCTATATTAGTCTATATAACCGGATATATTACTATATAACTATATATAATCAATAATTCTACATAACTATATATAAATCTATATAACCGTATATATCACTATATAACTACATATAATCAATAACACTATATAACTATATATAAATTGATATAAACGTATATATCACTTCATATTAACGTATATACCACTATATAAATATTTATAATCAATAACACTATATAACTTTATATAAAACTATGTAACCGTATATATCACTATATAACTACATATAATCAATAACATTATATAACTATATATCTATATAAAACTATATATCATTACATAACTATATATAATCCATAACTCTATATAAATCTAGATAACCGTATATAACAATGTATGACTCTCTATATTCAATAACTCTACATAACTATATATAAGTCTATATAACTGTATATATCACTATATAACTATATTTAATCAATAACTCTACATAACTATATATAAATTTATATAACCGTATATATCAGTATATAACTATATATAATCAATAACACTATAAAGCTATATATTAATCTACTGTATGGTATGGTATGGTATAGAGAAAACTATATATAACTATATATAAATCTATATAACCGTATATAACACTATATGACTATATATATTCAATAACTCTACATAACTTTAAATAAATCTATATAACCGTATATAACACTAGTTAGGTTTCTGAAGTGCTTTATAGGGGCATGGTTTGAGATTTCTGATTTGGAAGCGATGGCGAATATAGGGAAATGGTCGGATATGTCAGACAGAATTATTCCAGATAAGTGAGAAGTTAGGTTGTTAGTAAAGATATTGTTGATGAGTGAGCAAGAAGAAGTTGAGATGCGAGTAGAGGAGGTTATAAGAGGTAAGAAGTTGTATGATGATAGTAGGTTAGAGAAGTCAGCAACGACGTTGTCACTGTTGAGTTTATTGAGGTCAAGGTTAAAGTCGCCAATTAAATAGCTCTTTATGTGTGGCTTGAATGTTGGTAAAATAAGTTCGAGCTTTTGGATTAAGATATTAGGGTCAGTGTTGAGGGGTCTATATACTAAAATATTTACGTGTGTGTTTAATTTTAAATTGATACCAAGAAGGTCAATAATGGTGTCGTTCAGAAGCAAATTGTTTATCATAGAAAATTCAATGCCTGATCTGATGAAGATTCCGACTCCACCACTTATTCTGTCAGACCTATTTTTAAAAACAAAATTGTAATCATTCATACGAACAAGTTTAGCGGTTTCGTCATTCAGCCATGTCTCTGAAATAATAATAATGGGAAAAAAATAAGATAAAAATTTATTTAAAATTAAAATGTCAGAAATTTTATTTAAAAGACTACTGCTGTTTATGTGAAGTAGAGGTAGAGGGTGATCATGATTGTTGATGTACTTGGCTTCTAGAATGTTGAGTAGATCTCTTGTGGTGTTGTAGGATGACTGTCTGGTGAATGAATCTAGGAGGTTCTTTGTGGGGTCGATGTGGGTGTTGTATGCGTTAAAGTGTTGATCATCTTCGTCGTTGTTTGATGGTTGAGGATGTTGTTGGATAGAATTGATTGTGGAATAAGTAATGTTAACAGCCATTGTCATGATTTATTGATGTCGCAGAATTGACATCGGAGGGAGGACTCATCGTCGATGAGGCTTGTTGTTGTTTATGTGGTTCGACCAGCTGAGAAGGGCCCATCGTGACTGACTCGACTGGCTGAGTGGATTCTTCCGAAGAAGTTAAAATGGAAGCTACCTCAACTCGATTGTGGTTGAGTTCCAGTACAATCTTAATTGAAAATAATATCTTGGAAGTTTTCGTAATTGTGATAAAGTTTCATAATCATTACAAAATCATTGGAGACACGCTAATCCAACACATAACTATTTGACAAACCAAACCAAAGTAAAAATCTGTCAATTTTTTGATACGAAATTAACTGTACAATATTTTCCTTAATGTGATAAAACCGAATTAAACTAAATCAGAAAAATTTGACGAAAATCTAAAACCAAAAAAACATTTATTGTCACCAGGTTTGAAACCTTTAAATTCTTTGAAATATTTTTGGTGGATCGATCAAATAATGAAACGCAAAGGTTAGAAGAAAGAAAAATTTGAGTTCAAAATGAATAAATGCATATTGAAAAAAAGCCGAAATGAAATTTCAGGACTGCAGATCAATTTGGCACCATAATGGTTACTCACATGCTCTTATACTGTTCAAGTAGAAAAAAAAATTAGCAAGCTTGATTTCAATGAAAAATATTTTTATAGTATTTGAACATGAGTTTAACCAAAGAATAAAACAAACGCCAGACTTATATAATACACCGAAGAGTGTAGCAAGCCTTGTACACTTTTTTGAATTATTGGGATACACAAAGTGGAAATATTTAAAATTTTTAGCGCTACAATGATGGACACCAGCCAGCATCATACGCAATGAGCCAATTATTTTACAATAATCATTTAGAGCTATTCGGAGAAAAAAAAACTCATTTAAATATCATTCAGTAATAACTGCTCTTGCATAATTAAATTTGTTTCATGTTTATTTGTGGATCAGAGCTGATCCTTACACTTTTTTTACAAGGTCAGCAACGTGGTAAACATTTTCTTGCAAAAAATTTGTAGTCCCAGAAGAAAAGATGATTTTTTTTATGGAGGGAAGATAAATTTGAGGTTTGGGGCTGTCCATAAAGGATGTCACGCTTTGAGTAGGAGAGGTTTTAAAACTTTAAAACTATGGGAAAGAATACCGAAGAGTGAGCAGGAGATTATATTTGTTTCTGATATTTGGATCAGCACTACACACCAATTTGTTTTAAATAATTTAAAATTAATTTTCCTTTATTTGAGCAAGAGATTATATTTTTTTCAGATATTTGTCAAACTTGTTGACTGTTTATTGAATGATGATTTCTCTGAAACAAATGCGGCGTAGTTAGCTAAGCTAATGTGTGATAATAACTTCCCAACGTATTATTAAAACTTCCAACTTCCAAAAATTGATTAACTCGTATCAAACGACAAAATTGGTATCAAGCAAATAAAAATTAATGACTTAATGATGTAATAGTGAATAAATGATTATATTTCTGAAAGCTTAATTCCATATATTAATCGAATTAGCTATTTGCAATGATACTGACTAGAAACATTTCCAATATAAATATTTCAGACAATATTTAAGATACAAATATATTTTAGTATAAATAAATCTTATCTTTTCAAACAAACAATTTGGTTTCCGTGTTAACATTGTTGTCAGTCAAAATGAGTTCTTCAGAAAGCAGACTGGCTAATTACAGCAAGTAAAGTTTTAATTTTTGACAACCTGAGCTTCATTTTTAAAATCTATCATTAATATTTCAAATGATTTATACAACTCAAACTAACATTCATTTTTTCTTAAAACACTCTACCCTACTGTATATAATAAAATTATTATCATTTGCACCATTAATTAAAACGTTTTACGAGAGATTATAACAGGCTGAAAGTCATTCACACTCACACCTAGGCTCTAAGAAATCAACCACCCAACAACACACAAACATCTTATATGAATACATACACACCAAACGACGCAACACACAAATAGAATGTGACAGAAAAAAACCTTTCTGTCGCATTTGAATCTGGTCACTACACCTACTGCGGAGCAGAACCCTACGACCTTTACCGCATGGCCATTAAAACTAATATAAATACATTTACAAACATTTACAGGTCAAAATTTTAATGAAGATTTTGTTAAATTTAACCTTAACCTTAATAAAATTCTATTGTAGAGAATGTTTCAACCGCAAAGTCTTTGAATAATTTTATTTCTTTGTAGTAGTTAAGACCGCAGTCCCTGACGTGGCAGTGACTTGGTTCGATCGGTTCCTGAAAGAGAGATAATAATTATGACGAGAGATAACATAATTGTGATAATAATAGTGATAAGAATAACAAATATTATTAATAATACCAACACTGTTGTTATATATGCATTGCATACATATAGTTGGAGTATGACTTCAGCAAATACGCCAAAATTGGCAAATGTGTTGTTATACAGCACAGTCGAAGCATCCAGGAACGGAGGGAACCAGGTTAGGGGTCGGCGTTTGTCCAAGTCAGGAATCAGATATCGTTTATCTGACTCCGAAAAATGTGGAAAAATTTTAAGTTTTTAAAATTTGAAGAATTCTTTTTTTAATATTCCAAAAACGATTTCTCAAGCTAGTGTTGTTTAGGCATCTGCACATGTTGATACGCATTACTTAATATAAAGCTAATTCGTCTTTTTGTGTGTGTATAAATGAGAAATAAAATTATAACAAACACAAATGATGTACTAACGTTTCGATTTTTTAGCGCCGTTATAAAAATTTCAACTACTAAAATGTTAATTTTTTAAATATAAAGAAAAGATTACGTCAGCTGACTCATTTTAAACGCTTTCACAAATACCTTTTATTTTATCAGAATTATTGAGAAATGTAGAACAGAAGTTGGCAAATTTCTTTCAAACTCGACAATCGGTTTCGGCAGTCGGTGATGGGCCGAAAGATTCGATCAAGAGGTCGGAGTCAGTGTCGAACAAACGTTCATCCGAGTCCAAAACTAAGGAACAAACTTTTGAGGAAGGTACAAGTTCTTTTATATGGTCATCAAATAATATAACAATGAATAAAATAAAAAGCAACTCTAACAATATAAGTATTAATACTGTTAGTGCTGCCACTGCTACTACTACTACAACTCCCACTACTACTACTACTACTACTAATACTACAACTACCACTACTACTAATACTACATTTTCCTTTCAATAAAACGAGTTGTCATAATTTTTGCTTGACTTTATTTGAAAATAGAAGGTAATAGAAATGTCGTGGGCGTTCTGAACATGTTCGCAGATCTGGGATTCGAAGTAGCTCTTTACAAAAACTTGACTGAGCATGAAACATTGTTAGCAGTTAATGAAGGTAGAGTAAACACTTTGTTTGTTTGTTCGTTCGTTCGTTTGTTCGTTCGTTTGTTTGTAGAATTTTTGATTTTGTTTTAGAAATCTTCTGAATTCAACTCAACAGTTGCTGAAGCTAATTACACGAATTACGCTTGTTTCGTGTTGATGGTCGTGGGGGGCTGTGAGCAGTGCGGCTTCACCAGGGACTCCTTCCAACTTCACAGAGATGTCATCAACAAGTTTAATAAGGATTCTTGCCAGAGTCTGGATGGAAAACCAAAATTATTTTTCGTTCAAGTTAGGATTTCATCAATTGTGCTAAAATTTTTTAAACGATTTGAAAACATTTATATTCTCCAAATGTTCCATGCGTTAAAACAAATTAATCAAAAACCAACTAACCTTTTTTGACACTAAAACATTTTTATAATAGGATTAAAGTATTATATTTTATCATTAATTGTTTAAAAATTTTCAACACCAATTTTTATTTGTTGATGTAAACTTTTACAATTTAGAACTGGCGTAAAATTATTAATATATTCTTTTGATCTCTTAAGAAAAGTAATTTGACAGAAATTTGACAAAATATTTATAGTTTGTTATCAATTTCCTATCAGCTTGCAAAATTTTTGTTTCTGAATATTATGTATATCACAATACCGTGAAAGACCTGTTGGGCATAACTGACCTGTTGTACAAATTACACGTTCCTACTATCAATCAATCGTCCTAACCAGCTGTTCTGGTAAAGTGGTGTCTTTCAAAACTGCATAACAAATCACGACAATGAAAAAACGAACAATTCGCTCTTTCTACAAAAAACATTCGCCCGGGCACAAAAGAATTTGCACAGATTGCAACGTGAAGTTGACACAATCTGACGATGTCTAGAAGCACTTGAAAATTTACAGAATTAATAAATTGGCTCGTTGGTAGTCCACCATTTGTTGCAAAAATGTTTGGTGATTGAATTTGCTTAAAAATTTGCCAATTAGTTATTCTTTCTCTTTCCATCCTTTTTGTATTTTTTACATATTTTGATTGAATTAGTTGCATTGCAAATTTTTCACGTTTTTCTAAAAATTTTCGTTGATTTTTTAATATTTTGTCGCTAATTTTGATTCTTATTGTTGGAAAACATTATGATATTATTAATTTAGTTTTATTTTTTTCAATATAATCAGAGTTAATTATTTAAATTAGTTTTTTTTAGTTAATATTTGAGTTTGTAATCTAATAAGTTTTTCTCTTATAACAACTTACGTTCTAAATCGAATTTACCGGTTAATTATTCAAATATGTTGTAATGGCTTCTAAAAAATTTGTTTTTCTGAGATCTTGTGTTTATTAAGTACCAATTCAGAAATTTTATCAGATGACAATTTCAAAAATGAAGTTGCATCATTCTTTACGTGTGACGAGATTTCGGTCGGTAAAAAATCTTAGTTTCTGAGTATGAAACATTGAAAAAAGATGAAATCAAACAGTTGAACCGAGGAAATACTAAATATGAAGATGTTTTTGATATTGTTGACATGTTTGTTGAATTGACAGATAGTAAATTATCTGAGCGGTTGCCAACATTTGTTATATTCAATATCGATAGTCCCCATACGTCTGGCCAAGAATAAGAGTAAAACGGTATTTGAAAATTTCTATAGATTAAATCATAGATAAGACAACATTGAAAAAAATAACCAGCTGTTCCTGAAGTTCAGTCAGTCTCAAGGTGGCGTTACCAAACCACATTCCGTCAGTGACCAGGTAAGGGAGGTCTTTTTCCACGACAGAGCAACTGATGTTAATTAAACAAGACTCAAAAATGTCACACCCGCGCAGATACAGCGAAATTTAATCATCCAAAAGATAATGTTGCTGCTGGTATCAATAACTGCTCTCGTTGAATGATGGTTCCTAATAAACTTAATAAACGTAATCAAGATGATATTAACATCTATAACGTTAATAAATGGATTGTGAAGCCAACTTCGCTACCAATCAAAAAAACAGGTCGGGAAGTGCGAGGCCATAGGGTCGCTCAAACTAAAAAGCGCTGAAAAGAAATCTTTAATATACCTTGGAAACATTACTCCATGTTCAAAGGACACAGTTGCTGAACATTTACGTAATTTTGATATCGAATTCCACAATATATTTCCCGCTAAACGACTTCAGAAAAACAATGCTGAAAAAGCCAACGATAACAACGAAGAGTGCAGTTCTTTCAGAAACTGTATTCCTGAAATTGAAAAGGATAAAACTTTTAATGCTGAAATACAGCCTTTAGACGTCAATGTTCGTGAGTGGTTATTTTACACGAATCAAGCGCCTAAAACTCCATCCGCTGTTAATGGCTGATATTTCATCTTAAAATAAATGTATTAAAAATAATTTAACTTGTGATTGTAAATATTACTACATTTCAAATTCAATAATTAATGATTTAAATGTTGAAAACATTAGTTCTGCAAAGCTTGCTCTTACTATTATACATATCAATGCAAGAAGTAATTTTAACAAAATGAGTGATATGAAATTTTTTGGATTCTTTTCCTATTAGTTTTACTGCTGTTGTGATTTCAGAGACGTGGTTAGATGATGCGACTGCCCCTTTAATTGATTTGCAAGGATATAAATTCATATTTAACTATAGACAGAGCAAAAAAAGCGAGGGATGTTGGAAAATGTGTTGCTAATATGTAATTCACTCACTTATATATATATATTGCAGGATATTTCAATATTAACCTGGATTCTATCTCGATAGATAAATTCAATTTTGAAAGATTATTTTTTCACAAATTTCACGCTTTGATAAATTTGCCTACACGAGTCTCAACTTCATCTGCATCAGTTTTAGATAATATTCTAATTAATCAAATTGACTATCATCAGGATGGGGTTGTTGTTGCAGTACTTTTTGGAACTAGATGGAGTGGAGAAGCCCAAGGATATTTAGATTGTCTGATGATTCCGGCGTTTAGTAAAGACTTAAATTCCTCTTTTGCTGCTTTATATTTCTCTTCAGACAGTTGGCGAGCCTTGGCAAATGTTGGTTGGCTTCCACCAGTGCCGATGATGTGTTTTACTTTAGAGTTTATTTTTATTTGATTTTCATTTCTTGGTTCAATCAACATTGAAAATTTATTGATGAGTTTCGTTACTACTGGCGGTTTATTGATGTGAATTTGTTGAACGGAATTCTGCAAAACGTTTGTTGTAATCGTTTTTTTGTTATTGTGTCAATCAGTCTGTTGTTAGTGCAATCGACAAGGATTTTATACGACTATAAAAATCTTTGCCTAACAAATGTTTGACAATATCTGCAATTACAACATTCAATTTGTATGTTCTGTGCAGTGGTGAGATGTGGAGTTCAACAATGGTTTCTCCATGACAGGTATTGTTTTGACCACTCGCAGTTGGTAGGTGAACGGCAGTGGGTTGCAAACATAATCCTGCTGAAAATTTTGTTGGGATGATTGTGACTGCTGCGCTTGTATGTACTATTAATTTTAATGTTGTGCATTTAATTCTAGCGGCAACTTCAAAAAGTGGCGAGCCGATTGATGCGATTTCGACTTGCCTGATCAGTTTTCCGACGGCTGGGGTGAAGAAATATTGTTTGCGGGTGATCTCATCTGGGTTAGAGATGGAGATCTTGAAGATGGTTGAATTTGTATATTTTTTTTGTTTGGCCATCTGCACCATGGTTTGCATGTGACCTCGGCAGATTTGAGTGCGTTGGTCTTTATAAAATGGGCAAACGTTGATTGGGATGTTCCAATCATTGATGCTGTTTGTTGAACTCGTTCTGTTAAAAAGTGTGTTGTTGTTCGTGGTTTCTTTGTTCATAGGGTAAATTTCGTTTTTAGAAAATGGGATTAATTCATCTGCTAAATTTCCCAGTCGCTATGTAGATCGAAATCTTTTTGAGCTGCGATGACTGGAGAAATTGTTGTTAGAAGAGCTTTTATAAGCATATGACGTACGAGTTCGTCTCCCAGTCCAATTTTATTGGCTGTCGCTAATAATTCTTGTAAATAGTGTGATGGTCTGCCGATCATTTTAGTATCTCCGGTCAAGCGAGCGAACAATTCTGGTTTTGTTCATTCAAAAATCGATATTACCGCTTTTTTTAGGTCGTTATAATTTCTATCGTGAAACAAGTGTTGTGGTAATTTGGCAACCAAATCTGCCAGTAGCGATGATAGGATATGATAAAATTTTGTTTCCGATGAACTAACTTTTCTGAGATGAAATTGAGCTTCAGCGATTGCAAACCATCCTGTCGGTGCTGTATCCATAAAGGTGGGCAACTTGACGGATATCATGTTGATATTATTTAATCCCGAATACCGCCAGGTTAAAAATTTATTACGGAGAAGTCTTTGATTCACGTCGGGTCACCAATTTGTTAGTACGAGCGTTCTGCTACTAACAAGACACCTTGTTGTGAAGTAAAATAAACAAAACAAACATAATTCAGGCGTAAAAAAATTAACTTTGTTCTAACGTGAAACTCGAATCGTCTCGTTTACAAGCTCTCTGGAAAAAGAAAGAATATTCAAAGAGAAGCAAAAAAATAAAAATTAACATAGATTAAGTAACATTGAAAATTGCAATAATCTTTGTTAATAATAAATACATAAGATAGTTAATAAATGAATGTTTGATCCCTAGAGATGAATGGATAAATTTATGAATAAATGATTGATTGATAGATTTGTATTTATAAATAAGTTATAAAACATTTTGTAATGGTCGCATCATCGAATAGCAAAGAAAAATAAAAAATAATAAAAATCTTTTGTAAAATGAGTCTTTGGGTAAACCAAACCAAAGACAATGTATTTACAATCCTTAAAGATGCTTGTATATATATGAATGAGTGACATCGCAGCCGCAGTACATCGTAACTTTGAAGCACGTGTTGAAGATATCATTTTGATCGAATTATTGTCGAAAAAAATTTCGTTGAAGAATTAGAAATGAAAAAGAAAGGCGTTGAATTGAACAAAAATTGCAAAATGGAGAAAGATAATGCTGTCGATGAACCAGCAAAAATGGTTTTAATTTCCAACGAAGGCGGTCGCTACGAAGTTGCTAAAGATTTATTACTACAGTCCAGTGATTATTTTCAAGCCCTGGCAAACAGTGGAATGAGAGATGCAAACTTTAAAGAACTTACGTTGGAGTGTCTTTCCGACGCATGTCTACATGAAGTCGAACATTTTTTATCGAATGTACAAAGCAACGAGGATCATTTTGGTGCCAGGGACTTGTGCTGCGTGGAAAAAGGTTTAGAGGGCTCACTCTATCTTCAAATTCGAAGCATGACAGATAAATATCTCAATAATTTATTGGGCCTATTGAATGAATCAACTTACGCACGCATTTTGCAGTTCGCAAACAAATTCGACTTGTTTGAGGCAATCGAGAGAGTTTTTGAGTTCATTTTCGACAATTTAAAGTGTATTATTTTGAGATCCGAAATACTATCACTGTCACCAGATGGAATGATACGCTTGGTTGAATCGGAGCTTGTTAATGTTGACTGCGAGTTAGATATTTTCGATTTGATAGTAAGATGGACTTCAGCTGACGAATCAAGAAGGCAGTATGCAGAACTACTGTTCAGTAAGGTGAAGTACAATTTGATGGCGGAGCCAGAAAAAAGGAAGGCTAGTAACGTACTTGAAAAGTTAAAAATAAACGTTCAGACTGAAGACCATGGTTTTCGTACAGTTGGCAAAATATTTGGTTTCGGAGCGCCAGAGATCGAGGTCAGCTAATCTTTAATTCATTTGTTTATTATTAACAAAGAGTGTAATTTTACAATTCTTGTCAATCAATTTATAGTGAGCAACGCTTCTAAGATGTTTTGAAAATTTTCATATTAATGGTTTAATTTTTAGCGACACACACACACAGAACATTGATGATAGTAATATTTTCAAAATATTGTATATGTTGGTTGGTTTAAACAATGCATGCGATTGGCAGAATTTATTCAATTTAGTTATTTAAATAATGAAATTTTTTACAGGTTGAACAACCTTTCTCTTCGCTATCAGTTTACGATTTTGTCAAAACTTTATCCAACAAAACTACCGTGTTCCCTTTCGATGATTTTAAATATATCAAGATTCGGAAGTGGATTCCTCTCTTTGTAGGCCACAGGATTTGTACAGCAAATAATCAGATATATTTTGCTGGCGGAGTCTACAAATGTGATTCAACAACCAAGAGTTTGAAAGTATATGATGTAATCAGTTCGAAGTGGTCACAGGTTAGACTAATTTTTTCAAAATATTTTTAAACTGTTTTCATAAAGATGAGGCTTTTGAATCAACTTGAAAAATTTAATCACACCTACAGCGCCATTATAAAACTTCAGTTAACCTGAATGAGTTGCAAATGTGTCCATTCGTTATTTCAAATATAATTTTAAATAATCAAATTCTTATTAAAAATAACTAAACCGTTCTTAACAATGATTTTCACACATCAAACAACTTCCAGCTATCTAGTATGCATGTCGCAAGAGCTTTTTTCTACTTCGGTGAAATGGGAGGACATTTGTATGCGGTTGCTGGTGTGACTCTTTTTGGTGATCATCGCACGTTCATTCAGACAGCGGAGAGGTACATTCCCGGAGAAGACAGATGGTACACGATAGCACCTTTGCCCATTGCTGTCGCCTTCTTATCAGGTTTTATACATTTTGAAACATCTTTTTTTTCTGCTAGTGAGTGATGGACACTTATAAATAATTAATTTCATTTCTAGGTACTGCATGTAACGGTTTGTTGTATGTTAGTGGGGGATACAAAGAAGATGGTATTTCAGTCAACCTGGTGTATATGTACAACCCCGCATGTAACCAGTGGTTTGAAAAAGCTCCGATGTTGACAGCACGTAATGATCACTTCATGACGGCGTTAAGAGACAAAATTTTTGTTGTTGGAGGGAAACGTGTCCCAACCGTGGAAGTAGAAGATAACTTAGAAAGTGTTATGGTTAGTTTGTGTTCTCTTTTGTGAATGCAGCTGTTGAAATTTGTTGTTGGTCTTTATTTATTGTTGACGGTTTCCTTATGTACATGAGAGCGTTATACTTAATTATATTTCAATTTTAGAAATATTCGCTTACAAATTGTTTACATCATTATAATTACAATTCGATTCACTTGAATGTGTAAGGAAATGAATAAACAGGACGCTGAGATGTTTGATTGCACAACTGAGCAGTGGACATCCGTACTGACACTTAAGCAGTCTTTCTGGACTCCTCAAAATGCCATTATCCTTAACGGCTCCCTATTTTGTTTTACTCTCAATTGGTTTAAACATAACTATTCGATACAAGAAATCAACTTGAAAAAGTATCTGGATGTCGACACATCATCATCAAATGCAACGAGTGATGAAGATGCATGCATCCTTTACAACTATTCCACCCAATCGGATCTGATATGGGCATGGGACCTCCAAGCATTCTATATCACTATTCCCACAATTCCACTCAACCAGATCTGATTATTCACGACCAGAGCTGTGTCGGAGAGTATGCAGCAGTTTAGGCCGTATACCCAGTGGTTTTTTACGTGACAAGTTGTTTTATTGCTTGCTAGTTTATTACTTACTAATTAATTGGTTTTATTGAATGAATGTTTGTTTATTTCTATTCGAATTAAAAGTATTGTTATATATTAATAGTGGAGAATTTACTATATAACTGAATGTTTAATCATTTGGATTATTTTAAATTTGATAAGTTTTATAACATTAACCGTTTTATTATTTGGACATTTTGAATTAAAACATTAACTCGGACATTATAATATTTCATAAAGATATTGCCTGATGAGCGCATTCTAAGCGCTAAACGCTTAGCGAAGATAATAAAAGGGTTATACTAACTGTAATAATAATTGTGTTTGTCAAAAAAATTTGTATTGTCTTCAGAAATAAATTATAAAATAAAAAATTAAAAATATAAGAACGACACCTTTTGTTCACATCACTTCGATTAGAGTCAGCGGACTTCGATTTGATCTAGCAGAACCGATCATTAACCACTGGTGGTTAACGGATTCTGTCGTCATAACCGCTGTTCTTGCCTTGATCCATTAAAATCGGCAATTTTTCCTAATCAGTTAAGATTAGCCCAAGTTATTGCAATACATAAGAAGGGAAGTAAAGGAGATGCAGGTAACTACAGATCAATATCTTAGCTTTCTCCATTTTCTAAGATTGTCGAAAAATAATGAGTTTTAAAAAGATGATCTTTCTTAACCGTTTTAACATCTTATCAGCAATCAGTACAGGTTTTGAAATGCTCACTCGACAGAGTTGGCAACTGCCGAGGTTAGACATCGAGTACTAATGAATATGTAAGATAGATGTGTACGATGGGCATTTTATTGATCTGATCAAAGCCTTTGATCTGATCAATCACTCGTTGCTTCTCAAAAATTAAACTTTTATGGTTTTCGTGGAACTATTAATCAGTGGTTCAGGAGTTATCTGGAAAAAACTGCAATACGTTTGGCTTGAAAATCATGTTTCAAATGTCTTGTTTTTGAGCTGCGGAATGCCACAGGGTTCCATTCCATACTCGGTCTATTGCTTTTCATCATTTTTGTTAACGATTCACCAAATGTTTTATCTGTTTTTTGTTGTATTTTGTATGCTGATGATAAAAACTCATTTTATCCATAGAAAAATATCACGCATGAAAAATTGCTTATAATAGTGAATTGTCTAAATTTGGACGTTGGTTTAATTGAAATAAATTAATAATTAACACGAGTGAATGCTCTTATTCTATTCTGGGTCCTAAGATTCTAACAATATTCCTGATTTCAATATCAACATATGTAACCATGCAATAAAGAAATCTGACTCGATAAAATTTTTAGGTGTTTACAAAGTATCTTATTGTGGAACGATCACATATTAGATATTACTTGCAAAACCAATCGATTTCTTTATATAATTAAAAATAAACTTAATAAAAACATTCTTTTTATAATTTATAATAGTTTTATTCTGCCTTATTTATCGTACTGTAATATTATTTGTGGTAATAACCCGTCGTTTATTGTTAATCATTTATTTATTATGCAAAAATGGTTTATTAAAATATATTAAAATTTAACTTTTATGTCTCATGTTGATCATTTGTTTATATTGCTTGACATTCTACCAGTTAAACAATTGAACATTTATTATTCGTCTATTTTTATGTTTAAATTGATTAACAACTTGTTAAATAATTATTTTCTTAAAAGTTTTCATTTAAGATCTGACATTCACTCGTTATTGATTAGGCAGAATAATATGTTTTGTATATACCCAAATAGGTTAAATATCTTTCAATATAGTGTATTTGTAATTGGCCCAAGTAGGGATGGGACAGAATTTTGCCAGAAGATATTAAAATTATATCTAACTTGATTGTATTTAAAAAGGTTTTGAAGAAATTTTCGATAAGCTATGATCCACCATGAGGTCTATTAATTGAATTTTGGGACTTGTTGCATTGGTTATATATCTATCAAATTTGCATTTAACTTTCATTTTGTTGTTTAACTAATTAACACTAATAGAGTATTAATTATTATTCTGTTTTTATGAATTAGTTACATTGGTGAAAGTGGTTTATGTTTATATATCTATCTATTTTACATTTAACGTTCATTTCTGTTGTTTAACTAATTAACAATTACATAAATTCTATTTGTATTGTACAGTGATTACGGTGGCCTTCGCAAGACTATTTTATCTTATGTGGTCTCCGGAAATCAGCTGTTTGATGAATTTTTTTAAATATTTTTTTCAGTTGGTTTGATATTTTCCTGTTAAGTAAACATGATGACAAATTTGTGATTAGCAATAAAAAGCAATCCTAGAACGCCGTATTATCATCCATTACGATGCCAGCTAATCATAATTTGTCACTTCATTTTTTTCACACAACAAGCAGAGTTGGTGTGTTTCGTGAGTATGACAAAAAAGAGAAAACGCTACGTGTGTGATAAAAATTGATGGAAAAATTGAAAATCTACTAATTATTCTCTCTTCCTCTCTCTCTCTCTTATCGGATTTATTATATATATATATATATATATATATATAGAAAGAGAGGGAGAGAAAAAAAGAGAGAGAGAGATAAATTACCTGATTTGTCAACTACCAAACAACATTAGAATACTGAATACTAATGCCTCATAAAAACTGTGAACACTTATCTCAAACTATTGATCTCATCAGTTTGTATAACTGAATATTTACTGATCAGTGTTGTCAGTATTCTTTCCTTCAACATTGCAACGATAGGGTTGTTTATTTAACTCTCTATATATATGACAAATCGGAAAAATTATTGACTATAAATAGGATAGACGTTTCAAACGAACCACCCTGTTTCAACATATTTTAAAAAAAAATAGGCCAGTGTTTCTCTTCAGCATGGATGTTCAGAGAGGTGAATGATCTGAAAATATGAAGTAAGGTTCCAATTTTTAATGAAATTTTTCTTAAATAATCACTTCAAAATTTAATTATTACCTCAAAAACCAAAAAGAGATATATATACATTTGGTAGGAATATATATATGTATATGAGTTGTATAAATATATATAAATAAGTATACATATAAATAAATATATATATATCTATAATATATATATATATTTAGGGTTAAGACTGTTGTAGACACAATTGTTAAGAAATATCAATTTTGATCAGTTTCTGGTTTAATTTTTCAATATTTCGTACCGTATTTTTTCCGTACTATTATGCTTAAATGTTCTATTATGCGTGTGTGTGTTTGTGTGTGTGTGTGTGTGTGTCGTGTGTGTGTGGTGTGTGTGTGTGTGGTGTGTGTGTGTGTTCGCGCGCGCGTCATGCCATCAGCATCCACAAATGTGACTCCACAAACAGCATATGAAGAATTGTTATCAATAATTTCTGAACCAGAAAATATTGATGAAAAACTTGTGAAAGAAATCTGCTTTGTTTGCAAAAGAAAAAAACGTGTTATATCGAAAAATTAACACTGAAAAAATAATCCTGACACTGCTCACTTTTCAAGAAGCCGTGAACAGTTTTCATTACAGATAAACTAACTTGTCTTCCGTCAATTAGAAAGAATTTGGATAGTTGAAATGATAGGTACTGCTACTGTGACAATTACTTCTACTAACAATTTGACGAATGTTACTTATTGATATTTTAAAATTTGGCTTATATCTCTATTCCTTCAATTCAATACTATTTTTCGTAAACAAATATAGCTTGAAACCAACAATTTGAAAATTTATTTCAACATAATATGTTTGATATCTTTCGCTACTAATCACTTGAAACATTTCAAATTGAATATTTTTTGAAGGAAACTAGACCTTGTGTAATTAACGCGTTTGCTTCTCATCCTAATCACGATTCGCTAAAACTTGAAGTGAAAATGTGGAAAACAACAAATCAAACTATAATTCAAATGGTGTTAAATTAATTTATAAACAGTACGTGCGATAAGTTAAAAAAATGAATGAATGATAAATGAAGAAATAGTTATGAAAACAAAGAAGCCTTTTTCAGTTTTCAACATTTTATTAATAGTTCAACGTAATAATTCTCATCTATACTATGAGTCCACAAAATTTCTGTTTTGCTGAACAAAATTTCTGTTTTCATCACGTTGTCTTTCTTAGCCGAATTAAAAAATGCTAGAAAATGTTGTATACGTATATATTGCAATGTATTTTGTACTTGGACTCATAAAAAGTTTGTGTTTTCGTTGGGTAGTAGGGAAGAATTTTTCCTTTAAAGAAATTCTTAGAAGCACTAAAATATGTGTTGCATCTTTTGTAAGCGTCAAAGTGAATGAATGTTGAAATATTAATGGAGTGTAAATAATAAAATCAGTTTGATGTGTAGCCAGCAAAGACAAAAGCTGCTCCAAAAAGATGCCGGGAATGTATCGAAACTAGAATTAAATTACTTAAGAAATCGGTTGAAACATCATATCGTGAAATCGAAATGAAGATGAAAAATTTAGAATCAATAAAAGAAACAATTTTGAAACACGTTAAATCTGCACAGGACGAAAGAGATAAAAATATTCATCCTAATATTAACATTGATGAGGAGTTGAATCGTCTTTTGGAGCAGTGTAAAATGGATCCCAAAAACGTGGAGAAGTTGATGACGTATTTGAATGAAAATGAAGTTTATTTCTAGAAAATATTAAACAATACCGCCACATGTTATGAAAATATTTTCAATGAGACTTCCGCGAGTTCCAGTGTTATGATATGAGCTGTAGCGAAAAAAATTGTTAGATAGGGATTTAATTAGCTACGATTGAAATATTTATGCTGGTTCGTTTATCTTTAGCTCTTATAATTCACAAATTATCTTTTCATATTTGTTTGATTCAAATTGGTTTATGTTTTTCAAGATTATATTTTTAGCATCGTTTTTTTAGTTTAGTCAATGTTTAAACAACTATGTATCGTGTTAATGCCATTTTTTAAATCACGAAAAAAGAAATATTACACATTTTTTAAATTTAAAAACTTAAAATAACGAATGAAGTGTTATACATGAATAATGTAAAATAGCAAGTTTATTTTATAAATTCACTAATTCATTGCATAAAACTCATCCACTGATATAGACTTTCAGTATGAACTTTGTATAAGTCTGACCATCATGACAAAATATTATCAGCAATTAGTAATGTAATTTAGGGTCGTTTCTGTATTACTAAAACTTATTTGACATTTTAGTAACATTTTAGTGACAAAATGTTTTGTGAATAAAAATTCTTTAGATTTTCCTGTAAATTTTTGTTTAATCGCAAAATTTTAATATAAAAACATTTTCTTATTTCAATTTTTGAAGCGGTATATATATTTTTAATGGTTTAAATTTTAAAGTAAAAATTTGTTACGTAGCAAATCTCGATAGGTTATCAGGAGTGATAGGTTATGCTTACTTAGGTGATAAATAGTTACATCGGGTTCTATCGCTTCTGAATTAATATTATAAAATGAATACAATTATATTCAAGTAACTACTGTGGCGGATCTAAACAACTTTGTCAAATTTTGAAAACGTTGAAATTTTGACGGGGGCCAAGAAACTTTAACAATTTCCTAAATTCATGGTAGTGTGGCGTAAATTGGGAAGGTAGGCTGGCGACCTATTTTTAGTTGATTTTCCACATAAAGCGCTTTATTTCTGTGCAAACAATGAGTTTTATTTAATTTATAAAAACACTGTGCACATGCTCCCTCCCCCTGGCCTCCCTTGATTCGCCACTGAGTAATAATATAAAATAAACCAATTCTGATCAGATTCAAAGCGATCCCCGCCTATCATATGATGCGTGGTTTGCACTCGTAGCCTATTCATATAAGCTGTGTGTGTTTGTTGTTTGAAGCAAACGCAAGAGAGAGAGAGAGAGAGAAAGAGAGAGAGAGAGAGTAGCCTTTAACCTTTTTTCAATAGCCATCATAAACTTCTTGCACACTTTTTACACTTGGAATACGTAGTACGACTTTTTCAAGTACCGCGTAGAAAATATTTCCTTTTAAATGTGAAAAGCGCTGCAAAAAATACTCGCTGAAATAGCGAATGCATTACTTTCTAATGAATGAGAGTAGTTTATCAATGCATGCAATGTCAATGCACCACCTTCAAGTAACTGACTTTACTTAAACGTATCAATGCATTTCATTACATGAAATGTGATCTTTGTATCGTTTTTGAATGGCAGGCAATAGGCAAAAGTGCAAAATGTAATACTATGATGTGATATGAAGTGGTGATGTGACGTGATGCTGTATTATGTGATATGCCTAAATAATTTTTACTTTCAGTTTTCACTCAAAACTAACACTATTTATGTCAATTACAGTTTGCGACTTAGCTGGTTTTACCAGATTTCGATGTATGGTTACTGATTAATCTCAAGAATATCACTTCAAAACAAAAAAGAAACACTTGAGACAGGTTTCCCGGCTTAAATTTCAAGTTTTTGTTTACAATGAACAATTAGGTACTATGTGAATCAGGCCATAACGATGCAAAACACGGCGCTCATATGGTCTGACCCAACCACTGAGGTTTAAGTTTAGCACCTATGGAACCAAAGCGTCATTTAAAAGACAAGAGGTAGAGTATCGAGCCGTTAATATTTACTTGTAAAAACAGATTAACACAGATAGGTGGACAGCGAGATAAAGTATTGGCTAAAGGAATATATATATTAATATAATATATAGGTCTTTGCGTTATAAAAAGCATATTTGGGAGTTGTAAGAGATAAATATGCGCTGTTAAAGGGGTGATATGTTATATGTCTTGGCATTATCATATAACGGTCTATTTTAAAATATTAAAAATGATGACTATAAAACAATTATATATGTATATATATATATATATATATATATATAGAATTTTACAATTTTTTTATAAAATGATTTATTTAAATACGTTGCAAGTATTTTCATAAGTATCTTTTAAAAACATCGTTAATTGTTAAAAAAAAGACATATATCGGAATTTTATATTCGACCATTTCGTACTGTTTTATTTTCACAATCTATTTTTGTTTAAGTTTATGGTGTTAAGCTATTGGACATTGTTAAATGTTGGTTTTAAATTATCATCGATTTTAACTAATCTTAAAAAACTTAATTTTCTCTTAATAATTACCAATTATTTTTCATCTTTGTAATAATTGTTCATTTTATAGCTTTAGTCTCAACCAATTGGTTAAAGATATTTTATAGGTTTAATAATATTATTAGTTATATTTGATTAAATATATGAACAGCATAGTTAAAGTTGCTTGGTCATATTAGTTGCAGTGGCTTAGTTCAAACGCAAAGATCTCCGCCTTTTAAAAAACCCGAAATGTGTGTGACACCGTGACACGTGGGTGACGCACGTTCACATGTTAGTGTCGTTTCGTTGATACTTCAAGATTAAATAACCATTACACATTGGGGATTTGTAGCTAACTAACTCCTCGTCTACTAATTTAATAAATTTGTTAATTAAATAATAATTTAATATAATATATTCTAACCGTGGTCTGGTCCGCGTGTTGTCTATTTCTAAATGGCTGGTGTCATGTATGTAGAATAAATAGGTCGGTGTAAAGTTGACACTATCTATGCCACTCCACTTACCTGGTTTTTCCAGGTTTCGGTGTAAACAAAGTTCGTATTGTTAAGAGCGCGGAAATGTCGAAAAATTAGTATAAAGAATCCCTGTTAAGATTGATTAAAAACAGCTCGTCTTATTCATCGTGTCGATTGATCAGCTGTGTACACACTAGTTTTGCTATGTTTTATAATGTTACCTTACTGTTGTGAACAATTGATTACGAAAATAAGAGTATATACCTATATAGTATAGTATAGTATAGATAGATAGTATAGCTAGATTAGATAGTATGATGTTGTGTGCTGTTTTGTATCTGTTTTGTATGAGGTTTCATGAGTTTTCGTGAAATCGATTCATTTCGTTTCATACAATACTACTATCTGTATAATAAATAAATATATATATATATATAAGTATATATATATATATATATTAGTATATATATATATATATACAATACTATACTGACTCATTGATTGACACAGAGTGATACTCTTATCTATTCTATCTAATCTATCCTCATGATACTAACTAACAGAATCAGATTAACATTATTAAATTGCTCTTTACTTCAGTACACAATTACAAAAATTTTCAAAATTACAGAATATGTACATACCAGTAAATGATAGAAATATATATTATATCATAATTAAATCTAATTACTATTGTTTATACTGTTATTGATTTATTTTTATATAGTATATATATATTATAATTATTAATATCGCACATTACTCAACACCTTTTTTTGCAGTTACCTATACTCTTCAGGATTCATGTTGATTCATTAGTTTTAATCATTTTATTACATCTCAATCTGTAACATCGTTAACGTCACACTACTTCAAATTGTCATTACAATAGATTACCTCTTACAAGACAGTACATTTATATATTTTATTGAATATATTATTTATATTTTTTATATTAATTTGTTTATATATAGACATCTATGAACTATAATTAAACTTATATAATATATAATTGTATAATACATAATTGTAATAACTGATGCCTGTATATATATAAATATTATATTATTATTATTGACTTTATAATTTATTCATATGGTCTGCTGCACATCATATTTTATTATATATAAGTACAGTACAATATAGTATATATATTACAACTTTATAATGTTTGTAACTATGGTGTGTGTTATGATGGATTTATATTAAGGTGAATGTGGTTCAGGCAGTTTTATTTTATATTTTTATTTATATCTTAATAATTAATAACAGCAGAATATAATAATAATAATAATAGTTAAAGTAGTTAATAAAATATTATAAAAATCAGTTTCATTAAGTTTTATGTTGGATGGCTAATTCAATCTGTGAAAATTTGAAGTAATTTGATTTTAAATATTGTTTTAGTACTAATAATATATCTTTTCACTCACCTTTTTCTGCTTGGTAGTTTCGTGACTTCATTATAAGTTTAATTTAGGTTTTGTTTTTCATTCTAGCATGTCTCTTTCTTCTCAGATTGACAGTGTTGCTGAAACGTTCTTAATTTCGTCAACGTAAATTAAAAACACGTAAACATTAATTCCTTAATGATCCTACTCTTCTTTTGTTTTTTTGAGGATTGGTTGTTGTAATTCACTTCACTACGGTCTTCCTGGTGCTACACTATATTCACCAACTAAAGCTTTCAACTTCTCCTCTAAATCTCTAGTTACTCCTGCCCACATTTTGTTCTATTGCGCTGGCTACCTATGTATAAAATATAGAAGTTTTTTCCTGAGTACTTAAGACTTATCAGATATATTAATCAAACCTAAACGCCCCGGTCTGCGATCTTTCTCTCGATTCACGTCATCTTAACAACTGTTAAACACTCCGACGAAAACCTGCTTTTGCATTTCTGGTTCTTCTCTCTGGAACTCTTTACCTCCTCTCTATTTCTCCATCACTTACGAAGTTCAGAGCCAACCTTAAGACCCATCTTTGTTGAATTAATTGAGGAGCGTTGTTGAACATTGCGTAAATGGCGCTTTAAAAACAAGAATGATTGATTGTTCGATTGTTTGATTGCTTAGACATGTTCAATGCCACTTTCTAAAGTAAAAGTTTGATAATAAATGAATTAATTAAAATATAACGCCTAAATAAGATAAATAAACAAAACTGAATGTTGTGCAGGTTAGAGGAATATAATTTTAAAAGTTATTCCATCATTGGAAAGTGTATCATCATCAACAACGAACACTTCCACGAGAAGACGGGTCAATCGAACAGGGAAGGTGAATGATGTCATTTAAATTATTTGATGTGTGATGGCTTCACACATCAAATTGTTTGATGTGTGATGGCTCCATCACTTGCGAAGTTCAGAGCGGATCTCAAGACCCATCTGTTTTCAAAATTTATTGAGGAGCGCTGTTGAACATCGCGGAAATAGCGCTTTATAAGCTAATTGATTGATTGATTGATTTATTGATTGATTTATTGATTGATTGATTGATTGATTGATTAATTGATTGATTGATTGATTGATTGATTGATTGATTGATTGATTGATTGATTGATTGATTGATTGATTGATTGATTGATTGATTGATTGATTGATTGATTGATGGCTGAATGGTTAAACGCACCTGGTCCAGCTTTGCAATAACCGGGTTTGAATTCAAGAGGGTCCCCCGTCTTTTATGTACACATTTTTGGGATGTTTAAAATAACCTTTAACATTCACTTTTTGAAAAAGAGTTTAATTTATTGTTAATCATTCAATATTTAAAGTTTTAAACTTAAATTTCTTTGCCCCATTATAGGCAAAGTCATATGCTAACTCAGCTTTTGTGTGACAATTTCGTTATATTTCATACTGTTGGTCATTATTTTTAAAAATATTGTTGTCTCATGTGTAGAGTGTTAGTACCAGAATTAATTTGCCTACTCTTGAATAATATCATTTATTTATTTATTAAACTAACTTTTAACCAGGAACGGAAATAGATGCACGTAACGCAGACAATGCGTTCAGAAGATTGGGCTTTGAAGTAACCTTATATAATGACCTATCATGGTATGAAATGAGGAATGCAATTCAAGAAGGTCAGTCCGTGTTTTTTTCCAAGTTTTAATTTGTTCTTTGTAAAAGTTTTTTTTTCTTATTTTTAACTTGACAGCTGCCGGTGACGATTACGGTAATTATGCCTGCTTGGTTGTTGTCATTTTGAGCCATGGTAGGGAGGGCAAGGTCTACGCCACCGATGGAACCCTCCAGATCGATTCCGAGGTTGTTGATAAGTTCAAAGGAGAGAACTGTCAGAGCCTTGCTGGCAAACCAAAGTTGTTCTTCATTCAAGTTCGCTGGCGATTTGTTCTATTTGAGTTTTTATTTTTTTTTATTTTTAATAAATTTCCTTTATTTTCATTTTCGCACTGCATTTAAATGACTGATGATAGTTAATGATGGGCAAATTGTTTAATTACGTCTCTGTTTAATACATGCAGGGATCAACAATTTATTATATGACGATAGGAATAAAGATGAGACTTAGATAACCACTTATTAATGACGAATTTAGTTAATGCTTATGTAATGTTATAGCCACAAGAAGTTGGTCATAAATAGTCAAGCATGTTCTTCAGTACACAGATCCTTTTATTACACTTAATATTCACGCACGTTTATAATGAGCAAAAGCAGATTACTTAACATGGCGAACAACGTTGCAACAACAGTTTTTAAAGCACACAGATGAGTACTTCATACGTATTTCGTTGGTATTTCACGTGTATTTAACTTTTTTTTCAATTAATCTTAATAGTTTCTGCTTTATTTTCAATTAATCTAAATAGTTTCTGCTTCAAAGTTTTTGTGAGGGGTTAACTATTCCAACTTCATTCCAATCGACCACACTGTACTAAATCAATCTTATATCATGGCTAACAAATATAAAACGTAGATTCAGATCCTATATGTTCTGGGATATATAGTACGATTCTTTCAAGTACCGCAAATGAAATATTTCCTTTTAAATGTGACATGCATTGCCAACAATACTCACTGAAATAGCGAATGCATTACTTTCTAATGAATGAGAGATTAAAATTGTAGGACTACGTTCAATTTCTCCATAACGTGACGCACAGGCTTGCAGAGGCAGCAAGTTCGACCATGGTGTTGAGATGAGGGATTATGTGGACGGCGTGTCGGTGAATGAGGTGAGGATCATATCGTCTGAGGCTGATATCATGATTGCTCACTCGTCAACTGCTGGTCATAACTTTGTTCATATTTTCATTCATGTATTTTGTTAAACGTTTAAAAGATTTAAACAAAAAGATTTAATCACAATCTTCAAAAGACGTTTGATGGCGCAACTCTGCAATCAAACCAAAGGCATAAAAATTTATGTAAAAGTTTTAGTAAGGTCTATGCACTGTTTACTTGAAAATTTGTTTAAAACCGTTTCTGTTCGTGTCATCTGTTTCCTAACTCATTCTTGCATATCTTAAGAGGCTGATTGAACTCACGTCCTCAATACTTAAGAATCTGACCGTACATTTATCGGCATGGAAATTTTAGCCGGTTTTTTTTACAACAGACAATTCTTTTCTGTTGATATTTGAAAAATGAAAAACTGTTTTTTTAGTATTTGGTTTAATAAATGAGTGAATAAATCTCATGAAATATTTATGTTGCTTTACTTTAGGTTTCTACTCATGGAGAAACAACGTAGATGGTTCGTGGTTCATTGAATCACTCTGCAATGTACTGAACAGTGATCTAGTCAATGATGTCGACCTTGTCAGGTTACTATGAGATCAAAATTTAAATAGTAATAATAACTAACAATCATTCATAACAAACAGTAACGATATTAACAATAGTTTATTTATTTATCATGAATTCAATCATTATTATTCAAGAATTAAATTTTTTAGTTTACTTTAAAATATAAAAATTTAAATTTTTACAACAGCTTGATGACCTTGGTGAACAAGCTCGTATCAGACAATTATCAGTCCAAAAACACTGATGAAAAGTTCTCATCCAACAAAAAACAGATTCCATGTGTCTTGTCTACTTTAAGGAAACTCGTTTTCCTTAGGCCGAGAGATTAACTTACTCATCTTATTAATTAGCTTATTTAATTTAAAAGATTACATTTATTTACTTTAGTTTTCAGTTAAATTTATTTCAGTGTATGTGTTCAAGTTTTTCTTGTTTCGCCGATTTTGACATATTTAAGGTACAAAGTTTTCATGTCCAATAGATAAATTATCATCTCGGAATGTTGCGCGTTAGTATTTTTGCGGCGGGTCCTTCCATCATTGTTTCTCCAGTGTTTCCAGTTCTCTGTACGTTTATTATACGTGAAAAATTGCAGTTTACGCTAGCCATGAGACGTCACTAATTTACTATAACTATCAGTTATAATGGATGCGTGATGCCACTGCTCCTTCTGCTTCCAGTAGAACTTGTCATGGGAAAGTTACGGTAAGAAAATTCCAGTTAAAATTCCATGGCTGCTAATAAATTGACTGGCGAAGTTGGTCGATGAGCTGAAAAGTTGGAACAATTGAAGTGAACTTGAAGACTTTAATACGGATGTTATCCATGGTGTTATCTGTGTTTATTCCAAACAAATGAGATTAACTTATATTGCGATACCATAGATATTGGAAACTTTATCTTATTTATGAAACACCTGTTTTAATCTAAATAAATGTTATTTATTTCTATGGCTTTGTTTACTTTTACAAAATTTTATTTCGCCCGTGTCTTCGTCTCGTCTCAAGTCCGTTGATCCTAACTCCTAATTCGTAAATGGCCGAATTATTGTTGAGCGAGGCCGAGCGGACTTACATTGTTCATGGAATTCAAGTAAGGTTTTATTTTATTATTACTTTTTGTGATTAATCTTAAATTCTTAACTTAATGTCTAATCTAATGAATGATTATTAATCTTTGATTGCTAACTAAAAATAAAAAAATTAAAAAAAGAAAATAATTAATAAAAATTATTCAACTCAAGAAACAATCAAATTAAATGTAAAGCAAATCCATTACTAATTACTATTATTAAATTATTTTTTACTTTTATTTATATTCATACTAGCATGCTACTAGATTAGTAGAGATTACCATTCATTACAATTACTATTACATTCATTTTCTGTTTCATTATCATTACCATTGAATGATTGAATTAAGTTTCATTAAGATTATTAAGGTAATAATATTAATTAATTTATTTAATCATTAACAAATAAAAAGGTTCAGTCAGTTGGTGTTATTTTATTTTTCACCATTTTGCTTTCTATAAACTTTTCGTTTTTTTTTTCTTACTTTACTCAATTTCAAATCAACAAGCCTGGATGATGGGACAACAAGTGTGCATGTTGTTGTTTTGTGTAATGGTAGTATGTAAGTAAGTAGTAAATTATTATAGTTAGTTATGTTAATTATTGTATAATAATATTTCCCATTGCAGCAAAATGTGCGCCAGGATGGCAGGAGCAGAGAAGATTACAGATACATTGAACTTGAGACAGATTTTGTTCCTCATTTGTGTGGTTCGGCTAGAGTAAGATTGGTACGACTTCAAATTTTTTATTTATTTTTGTAAAATTAAATTTAAATGAAAATAATAATATACCTTACCTGGTTGTCTCTAAATCTAATTTTCATCTTATGAAACATACCAAATAACAAGAAAAATAGACTGCAAAATGTGAATTAAAAATTTTTGATGCCATCAGTGATTTAAATTTTTTCAGTCCAACACGGACATTCTTGCAGGTGTAAAAGCTGAAATAGGAGAACCATCAGAAGGCTCCCCTAAGGAAGGATACCTGAAATTCTTCATTGATTGGTTAGCAACAAACTTCAGGCTGTTAAGCCATGGAAATGAGCATTTCGTTAAATACACCATTATTTTTCTTCAAAAGTTCAGCAAATGCCACTCCTGATTTTGAGGGCAGAGGCGGTGAGGCATTAGCAGAAGGCATCAGTTCCATGCTCGAAAACATTTATTTACACAAATCAACGCTCGACTATGAAAAGTTAGGCATCATTCCTGGAAAAAAGTGCTGGGTCCTTTACGTCGACGTCTTGGTTAGAGTTAATTGCCTGATTTGGAATCCTGCATTATTTATAATTTTTTTTTCTCAAAAATCTTTCGTGAAGATCCTTGAAGTAGGTGGCAACTTGATTGATGCCATATCTCTAGCTGTCAAAGCTGCTCTGTTCAATTCCAAGTAAGCCTTACTTTTCAGATGTTCAAATTTGAATATCCAAGCTGTTTCATCTTTTGTGGTGGAATTCATTTGATTTAATACTTCAAATTTTTTATATATGTTTATAGGATTCCCAATTTGACGGTTGTGACAAGTGAATTGAATGAAGCTGAAATAGAATTGTCCGATGACCCGTATGATTGCTTCAGACTCGATGTGTCTCGAGCGCCTTGCATTGTTACTTTAAATAAGGTTTTTTTACTGGACACTTTAAATTAATTAATAATATTATTAATCATTAACATGCATATTAAACTGTTCCTACATTTTAACTTTTCAAAATCAAGCAATATTAGCATTAAAAAATCATACATAACCAACTCAAAGGTTTTGGATAAATATATTGTAGACGCTTCCCTTGAAGAAGAAACATGCATTTCATCAAGGTTTTATATAAATTATTCATGAATTTATTAATTTTTGGATTTTAAAATCAAAAATTTGGCATTTATTTCTTGCATTTTCATTATTTTATTAGTTTTACAATGAATTGGGTGGTTGAATTACAATGAATTGTGTGTGGTTGAATTACGATGAGTTGTGTGGTTGAATTACATTGAATTATTTGGTGAATTACATTGAATTATGTGGTTGAATTACAATGAATTGTGTGGTTGAATTACAATGAATTGTGTGGTTGAATTACAATGAATTGTGTGGTTGATATAGTTTCTAATTGGTGTTTTTAAGATCTTGCATAAAATTTGTAGAGTCATATTTTTTTTTGTAGAATTATATTAGGGGTACAACCGGATGGCACTGTGACCGGCCTCAAGAAGGATGGCCAATCAGGTATCAATCCAACACATCTCATCGAAGTCACAAAGGTTTAATAACATTTATTGATTTGTTAAAAAACATGCTTGCTGTTGTTTTTCCTGAGTTGTTTGTTAAAATGTTTCGAAACAAATGTGCGACTTTTTGACCAGGGTTGATTCTGGTTTGACTAATTTTGGCTTCTGTGTAAATATGTTTTTATTGTATTTAATCAGTTTTATTAAATATTTTTCTGTTTTATTCTCATATTTTTTTGAAAATTCAACTTTCATTGCATTTTTTTACTCGATTAACTTAATAGTAAATTTATTCTTTGTTATCATCTTCCCTGGCAACACATCACAGATGGGGGTGTCCATAGGGTTGGAGTTGAACAAAAAGTTAACGAAGGCCCTTCTTGAAGAGGAATCCATGGCCATCAATCCAAACGTCAAACTGAACACTAACTGCGGATTTTTAAGATGATTTTTGTTTTTTTTTAGACATGCCTCAAATATTCAATCAATTATTATAGAACAGTTGCTTGAATTAATTATTTTATGTAAAGCTTTGTTTGGTATTTGTTATTAAGTTATATTGCTCCATGTAACTTAAATATAAATAATTTATTTTAAAACTGTATAATGCTTCCAAGTCTAAATTGTGGCATCTTAGAACCGACCGCTGAAATTTGTATACATAGCCATGGTGATGTTGACTTGAAACGTTAGTTTTGAAAAGTTATGAAAAGAAATGTTAGTCTTGAAACGTTTTGAAAAGTTCTTTAGCGTTAAAGTTGTGTGGCAGCTTCATTAGCTTCCAACGTGACTTGAATGAACTTCCTGCTTAGGCTTTTGTCAAATAGGACAGCTTAAAGCAGCGTTTGATTTAAATTTTTTGAGTTTTGAACTTATTTGAAATTTACAAACTCGCACCTAGAACATTTACGTCATTAAATTTGGTTGAAGCAAACTCCGCTTCGATTCCCATATCTATTTCATTTAAGAGAGTAAACGTTTGAATATTGTATTGTTAATAACATGAAAATACTTTCGTTTTAAGGGTGAATGAGTCGTGGTATACATGTCGGTGTCGGTGTACATACATGCAACAAGATAGTTCGTTTTAACGGAGATCGTGTTCTTCAATTTTTTTGTTGAAGTACATCGTTTGCTTAGCAAATTTTTATTAAATACTTTAGTTGCGTTTACCATTTTAATTCCAAAGTTTTGTAGTTCAATTTGAATAAAAAGGTCGCTTATTATTTGCATGCCTGATGGTTGTCGTCTTATAATAGATAAAGCATTAACTAGCTACTGTAGGCCAGGCTATTTAAAACTTTGTCTGAACATAATGAAGACCATTAAACAAAATATAACAACCCAAGTCACAAAGGTGATGAAAGGGTTTGATAAATTGTACAATATATCAACGCAGCCTCATTAAAACAACTAACAGCTCTGCTTGATATTTTTATGGGTTGTTAAAAAGTTTTCTGTTGTTGAGAGAGTTGTGTGCATCATCTGTTCGCCGCATCTTTCTGAGAAGATGGTAGCAAGACAACATGATCGATATTGTTATAACGCACTGTATCGATCGCAGCCTATCATAACAACAAACCTCTCGTTGCTACTTCTCAGTTCATGAGCTCTCTGGCCGTTGAAGGGTTAAGCTTATTTTGGTGAGAAATTAATACATTGCGTAATATCTCTTAAATTGAAAAATCCTTTTAAATAGATTATTTGAATAAATAATTATATTTTTAATAAAAAAAAAATAATATTGAATGAGTTTTTAAAAAGCAGAATTTTTCTAGAGTGGACATGGAGGAAGCACCACTAGCGGAAACGATGGAGAAGAAGGAGTCCTACAAGTCGACTGAAGGTGATCATCCTCCATAATACAATCATTCAGCTATTCTATCCAAAATATGATACATTATTTAAAACTCTAAGCCTAATGTTTTAAATTATAAATATTATCTCACACGAATAATTGAAATATTTCTTAATTTCAACTTTATCACAGCTCAGAGTGTTTCTTTAACTTAAACGACTTACTAGCTACCGTTATTTTTATTCAACTTCCAATATAATTGACTGCAAAATTTTTATCGCACTGATCTACCATCGCTCCTTGTCCATTTTCATTTTGCCGAATGTTGACTGTTTTAAACATTTCCTTTTCAAATAAATTGTAGAACGGTTTATTTATTTTTATTATAATTTATATAGTTATAATATTATAGTAATACAAATTTAAAATAATATAAAACTTTTTAAATGATTCAATACCAAATTATGTTAAATCTATCAAATGATCATCGGCGATTGGGCGATTAATTGAATAATTAATCGATTATACTTATTTATTTAATTAATTAATTGTAGAAAGCGAAAAAGTGACGATATCAAGCGCGAAAGAAGCCAATGAAGCGACTGCAAGCAATGGAAAGCCGAAAGATTTTGTCCCTGCCATCATGTTATCGTGCTTCCTCTTCTGGACATGCGGAATGCTGTTTGGGTTGATTGCCATGGTTTTAGCAGGTGGGCAGTTTCAGTATTTACCACTACTTCAGCTATTAGTGTTTGGTATTTTGAGATAATTTTTCGAGTTCAATTGTAATAATTTATTACAATTTTTTTTAAATCAATAAGCGAAATTTTGAAGGTTATATATCGTTATTTAATCAAGATTTTACGCTAATAAGATTTTTTTCCATCACAAACGAAGAAAATGTCGTCTGTTCTAAATTGAAAAAACTAAGTTTTTTACAATCTGAAAATAAATGTAAGAAAGAAAACGCAAACAATGTTATTTAAGTAATGGTAATGAAAAAGAAGAAATTTTCATATGGAAAAATTACCAGACAAATATTTCTTATAATTATTGATCTGTTTGAGGTTTGCGTATTTAGCATGCATCATTATATCGGCTTGCTGTTAGCGGCTTTTTAGTCAGGCTGAAGTTTAGCTCGCGAAATTAGATTGTAGAATGTATATGTCACCCAGTGGAAAATAAGTGCCGTCATCCTGAACCTTTCTTACATGTTATTAAGTTTTAAAAATTCTTTAAATCTCACGTCTCCTTTCTGCAAACCTCGAACGTGATTCAACATTTATTTCAAATCTAAACTCTGCTGTATCTAAATTTAAAATTGGCAAGCGATATTTAATTTTTACCGGAAAATTAATTTTAAAATAATTAAAATCGTGATTGTTAAATATAATCAGGCAATGATCTAGCTCAGAGAGCCTTGTCAACCAATGACCTGGACCATTTTTCACATCAGATTTCAATTTGTCATACATACGCGTTTCATTCAAAACTCCGTCAATTTAATAACGTCAACATATTTGCTTAATTTATTAGACATCACCAGATTTGAATAACTCATTCCAGTATTATTCAACCATTTCTTGCAGTCATCGGTCACTACATCGGCAGGGGTGGCAACCAACACACGGCAGGAAAGTACCTGAAGGCCTCCTACATTGTGTCCGTTGTGGGAATCATCGTCTTCTTCGTCCTGGCCATCATCTTCCTAATCTTCTGGTCCAAACTTGAAGAGCAGGAGAAGAAAAATAACACCTTGAGTGTGTATCCATTTTAATGATCTGAAATTAAACTACACTTGAATTTATTATTAAAACTGATTTACTTTTGAACCAAAAATTTTTTTTTTCATTAGATTGATTACAAAAACTAACTGGTGAAAGATAGTTTTATTTGTGTTCACTTCCGATCTGAAATTAAATAATTCAATTTATTACTGAATAAAAAACATCTGCTTAAGAACTCGGTTTTTTTAAGAACAATTTAGCGCACATGTCTTGCTCACTTCTTATTTCAATAACGATTTCTATATTAAAACCAGTATGTTTTATACAAGTTCAAGGAGGTGGACTGAATTCAAATTTGGCAGAAATTTCTGTTGGATGGGTGGTGGGCTGAAACAACTGCAAATCAAAAAATACATGGTCATTTACACTGTGCAGACTTTTTTAAATCTTAAACAAAATCGTCAAACAAATCAATTGCGATGCGTGGCTCAGTTGACGAACAACAAGAGAGAGAGAGAGAGAGAGAGAGGGAGAGAGAGGGAGAGAGAGGGAGAGAGAGAGAGGGAAGAGAGGAGAGAGAAAACAGAAAAAGAGAACGAATGAACGAATGATAATAAATAAAAATGAAAATGATAGGAGAGAATTACAAAATAATATTATATTATTATTAAGTTATTCAGACTACTTACTCAACGTTTGTAATTATGATAAATGTAGTTATTAAAGATTCGCGCGCACACTCTATTGATTATATCAGTCATAATTTTCAAGCTGTCGACCGCCAACAAGAACAGTGGTACATTAGAGATGCTATTAGTCTTAAATGGCTGAATACAGCAACGTCCTTTCAAGTTTTGTGGACATGTCTTTCAAAAAATATTTGTTTCCAATTGTTGCATTGATAAATTGTTAACCAGTCAAAAAGCTTTCAAATAAATTTTTGAAATTTTTTTACCCTTTTTATTGTTTTTCAATCTACTTCATTAAAAAATAGATACAAATTTTTAAACAAAACACTGGCCTGTGCGGAAAAAATAAATTAGACGATTTTTTAATGTGGTTGCAATAATCGTGTCAAACTAAAATCGAATTATAACAAATCGTTTCTATTACATCGTTGGCAAAAAAATCTAATGTTTGAAAGTATCAATAGAAAATCATTTCAAAAGTTTTGAATGAAAAAAATTGATTAATGGGCAGTTCATTTTCTGCAGACGAATGAATATATTCCTTCATCATCATCTCGCATATTCTCGATGCATAACGAATGAACCTTCCCATCAAAACTGTGCCCTAATCTGTACCTGTGAATGTCTGGATGGTTGTCATCTAGCAGATCACCATTCCTAAACCAGCCTACGTTGAGACTTGCTTCGTTCAACTTTATCTGAAATCTTGCTACCAGCTTCGTCAATGTCACATCTTCTTTCATGACTTTTTGTTTGTTTAGCTCTGTTTTTGGCGAAAATGTTTTTTTTTCATTTAAAAAAATTTCTTTATTTAATATTTGATAGTATGTTTTTGTATGTTATCTAAATATTTAATCTGAAGCGATTTTAAAGCGGTATGAACCTTGTCTGAAGAAGTAGTCAGAACTGAAACTGGCGTCCCAATTGCTCAGCAGAGGTTCACCGTCAGCTTTTGTGCCGTAATAAACTTTCTTCAAGATCCATCGCTTCTGCAGAGGCTAAAGTGCATGGAACAACATTTTTACTAAATTATCCCATGAATATCCATGCTATGAACTTTCATTTTAGATTTTTTGAAATATTTTATTAATTTTACCATTTTTTAAAAATATTGTTTCAACTTATGGAAAGTCGTACTAAATATTGCCTTTGAAAGCATGAAATATTTTTATTTAGTCCCAATTTACATAGTTTTAAAATAACAGTAGAAGGATATAATAAGGTCGATTACACTTCTCCCAAGTTCAGAGAAATCCACAATACACAAACAACGCATATGAATACGTGCTAAACGACGCATCACACACGAAGCATGTGATAAGCGGAGAATTTTCGGACCCATCGAACCAGGTCACAGTGCGCACTGCGAAACAAAACCAGTCGCCTCAAGCACTAGGCCATCACGCACCTGTGCTATAATTTTTTTAAATTACCTTAGCTGTTTTGACGTTTGGTATGGGGACCTTCATGTAGTGCAGTAAGTATTTGGTGCACAACATTTCAAACACGACATCTCCATCGAATTTCGTTGTCGACAACCTCTGAGTTGAAATTTCTGTCTCTGAAGTTTCAATTAAATTCAGGTCATAAATTTGTTTGAAATTTGAATAATCTACTGATTTAAGTTATATTTACATTGATGTACATTACGATTACATTACTAATAAAAATAAATTTTCATTGAAGTTATAAACTTCGGAAACAATTTTATTCCCAAATAACCAGTAACAGCCAGCTCAGCGCAAGAAGACAACTCCTCGAATCCATTGTAAGAACGCACCCTGTACACACCTACGTCATCTTTGTTTACGTTCAATATTTGTAACCGATGTTCCCTTCCTGAGTTCGTTATTCTTATTCTCGATGATTCTTCCAGAGGTTCGTCGTTTTTGAACCTTTTTTCGTGAAGTTTTTTTTACAGACTTATAAAAATTGGATGGAAAGTTGAAGATTTATTGAACAAAAACAATTTGAATGCAAATAAACACCAATTTGATCTTTAAATAGAAATGGGTTATTATCAGCATTTTAATTTCCAAATTTATGTTACAGATTTGCTTGGCGCATTTAAAAAATAAAGGTTTAAAAAAATATAAAATGATTTATAACGGAAAAATAACTTAAAACAAAGTAGGGGTGAGATAATATTACTTCGTCACTTAACACAGTAATAGTTTTAAAATAAAATAAAATTACAAAAAGATAAAAAACCATTGAATTTTCGGGATTGGTTTGCCAGTCACTTTGGCAACGAAGTCAGCATTTTGGCCGGCTTGAACCGTGAGGTTGGCTAGTTCAACTTCATATGCCATGCTCTCTTCACACGAAAGAGGTTTATCTTCAAAAATGTCAAAATAATCTGTGAAATTACATGCAGAAAAATTATTCTAAAAATGAGCAAACCCTAATCACCTTCTATAGACAGCTTGGCTGTGGCAGATAATTTATTTGCAATATTAGTGACCATGACTTCAATTTCTCCTGCACTTGAGGCTGTTGCTTTATCAAAAATGAGTGTTTGCTTGATGGTGAAGACATCCTCATTGTCCACCTCACTTTCTTCTTGCAATGATATATCATCAGTGAATGATATGAGGGAACCTTTGTGCTTCCTGTTGTAAGTTTAATTTATAGTTTAGCTCATTGATTTGAAAAGTTATGTGATCAAGTTAGTTCATTGATGTGAAAAAAGAATTTTTTTTAATTTGTAGAGAACTAGACAATTGAAAAAATACAGACAGTTAAAAGCGCAAACCATTCGATATAAGGTTTTGGATGACCAGAAACAACGCAGACGAATCTAGCACTGTCTCCATCAAATACTCTGAGGTCACTTGGTTTGGTCAAAAATTCTAGTGAACTGCCTGCTAGTGAAAATTCCATTTGAAAGGTTAATTGTTTTAAATTTATCATGAAACTATGATTTGATATCAATACGAATAACGTACGTTTGGCTATTAAACTGCAAGACGCGGCAACATCACCCGCCAAATTAGAAGCAACAACCTGGACTTCCCCCTCATCATCTGCAGTTACATTCGTTATTACAATCGTCTGATGAACAATGGAGACGTCATTCTTATCTGTCACTATTGTTTCTTCTTTTATTATTCTATCGTTGAACTTTATTGGACGGCCGTTCGCTAACCTTTAACAAATTGTTTTGCAGAATGAGTATTTATATGTTTTTTATCTCTATCATAAGTAAGGTATAGACATGTTTGAAATATTTCACGTGCTTTACATGTATGACATTTTATTCAAACAATCATGACAAACAGTGTAAATGAAAATAAAAAGTTACAAACCACTTTATATCCGGTTTCGGGTAGCCAGAAATGATGCAGTGGAAAATGGCCCTGTTATTTGCATCAACCAGGCAGTCTTTTGGTTTCTCAACAAACTGTATTGACTTGACTAGTGGTAATGAACGAATAGACTAAGATTTTGTGTTTAATATGAGTCATCTTTTTAAAAATAAGCATTATTATTCATGTAATGGAATTTTTTTGTAAAACGAGCCTAATAAATAAATAAAATATTCGTATATTATTATCGGTCACCTCTGACGACAACTGTTAAAGAGCAAGATGTGGAAATTGTTTCGTATGAGTTGGAAGCAACCACTTCAACTCTGCCAGCATCCGCAACAGTAACTTTTTTAATGATCAGGGTCTGCTCAACAATGTATTCATCTCTGACATTGGTAATTTTTTCTTCCACTTTGATTCGATCATCGGTTTTTATTTGGTTGTTGTTGATTTGCCTAAGATGGTTTCAGAAAAAAATTTCTTTTGAAGATTAGAGAAATAAACAGTTTTCATGAATAGAATGCGAAAATGTTGGTTAATAAATTAATTTTGCCGGAAGATACGGAAGATATTAAGAATATTATATAGAATCAGCAATGTTTGCGGACCAGTCAATTATCGGTTTTGGAGATCCAGATGCAAGACAATTAAAAGCAACATAGTCGTCGTTGTAGACTGTTGCATCAGACGGATTCTTTAGGAACTGCAGAGATTTCACTGAAAACAAAATTTTAGAAGCATTTTTACAAAAATTTATTTCGTGTCTATCTCTTAACAGTATTTTTAATAGTATAGCACATTGATATTTAAAGTAGACATTGTAAACTGATGATATTGACTTTTGACATTCAGTGTGGCGGTTGCAGCTATTTTTCCCGTCAAGTTAGAAGCGACAATCTGGATTTTTCCTTCGTCTGCTGATGTCAACTTATTGATAACAATTGCATGCCTGATGACTGTTATGTTGTCCTGGTCGATGGTCGTTGTCTCCTGTTTTGATATTCTGTCGTTCAACTCAATCGCCTGTCCGTTTAATAGCCTGCAATGGGAAAGGTTAGCAAGTTGCTTATGTGTTAACTGTTTAGAAGTGAATTGAATAATAATAATCCTTTTGTTTGAACACTGAAAAACTGGCATTTTTCCGTTAAAATTAAAATATTCTAAAAACTGAAACATTAAAATTAATTAATTTTTAGTTTAAAAAAAATTGAAAAAATTCATTGTTAAAAAATATGCATAATCAAACCAGCGAATATCTGGACGAGGTAATCCAGAAACAGAGCAACCGAACGTAGCACTTTCACCGACAAAAGAAATGACGTTTTCAGGTTTTTCCAGAAATTTTAGGGATTTCACTAGTTGAAAATTTACACGTTCACAAAATTATAAAGTCAAAACGTCAAGTTTGTTAGTCAATTGTTTATTTAAAAACAATACCGTGGACAGTCAAAATGGAAGAGACCGAGATATTTCCGCTGGAATTAGAAGCAACCACTTGAACAAGCCCCGCATCAGCTGGAGTGATCTTCGTTATTACAATCGTCTGTTCAACCGTGTATACGTCTTCATCGCCTGTAACGATCTTTTCTTCCTTTGATATTCTGTCATCATATTTTATTGGCCTTCCATTGATTTCCCTAAAAACAGTGTTATAATTTGACATTAAAATAATCAACTAAGAATAAAATAGGTTATAACACAAATGATTTCATTTGGAACGAACTGCACCAACCAGTTGATAATCGGCTTAGGATGTCCAGACACGATGCAACTGAACGTGGCATTGTCATCCTTGTAAGCCGTCACGTCGTTTGGTTTCTTTAAGCACTTCAGCGATCCGACTGCATTAAAAATTGTATTGTAATAACTTGTAATAAAACCAGGCACGATGATAAAATTCAGAGCAATCAAAGCAAAAACATTTTGAACGAAAGATTAAACCACATGATAACATACAGTTCATCGCTTGCAACCTTTCACGTTCAGAATTGCCCTGGCAGATATCTCCCCCTTCAAATTGGAGGCAACAACCTGAAACTCCCCCTCATCTTCTGCAGTTACTTCACTGACGACCACCACCTGCTTCACGATGTATGCACCTCCATTGTCCTCCTCTACTGTTTCTTGCTGCTTGATTCTGTCGCTGAATTTCATGAGACGACCTTGATATAACCTGTTTTGAATACATTCAAATAGATAAACTAAAATATTGTTAAACATGCATCCATTGGACTATATCGCCGAAAAACATTTGATAGGCCATCGATGTAGTGTAATAGGTTAAAAAGAAAATTTTGGTTTAAAATTCGTAATGCATTCCTTCTGCTAACCAACATATATCCGGTTTTGGTAGTCCTGAAACTTTACAAATAAAAGTAGCTTGGCTACCGAGGGTGACTGTTAAGCCAATTGGTTTTTCCATGAACATGATTGTCATTTCTGAATGAAAACATTTTTTAAGAATGTCATACATGCCCAATAACCTAGTTGAAAAATATTCACGCTTAAAAACGTTCATGTAAAATGGCTAACACAATCACCTTTAACGATTAACTTGCATGACGCATCGAGTTTTCCTGCCAAATTGGAAGCCACAACCTGAACTTCCCCTTCATCTTCTGTGGTCACTTTCGTGATGACGATAGTCTGCTGGATAATGGAAAGGTCATTCCTGTCTGTATCTGTTGACTCCTGCATTATTATTCTGTCGCTGAACTTTATTGGCCGTCCGTTCAACAACCTTTCAATTTTATGATTTTAATGAACAATTCATGCGATATCAAAATTTTTGTAATCTTTTCAGTTCACTTTTTTAAATTAAGGTTGTGTAATTGATAAGCATCGACTAACCACAATAGATCGGGCTTTGGTGATCCTGACAGAACACAACTGATAGTCGCGACATGATCAGTGTACACTTTCATGTCACCAGGTTTTTCCAAGAATTTCAAACTCTTAACTTTCAGCGAATATCAATTTAGAAGTTTAGTGTTCTATCATAAATATTGAAGAAAATATTGAAAAATTGAAAGTTTTTAGTTTTGCTGACACTACGATATATATCAAGCTTCAAATTTTTATTGTAGGCATGCACAAATCTGACAATGGTTCACACAGAAAAGAATATGAATAAACTTTCAACGTGAACTACTTACTAATGATGAATATTAACGGTAGCCAAAATAAATGTTAGTTTACTATCAATGTTTAACCTTTGACTCGCAACAAGGAGGATTTAGAAAGTTTTCCACTGGAGTTTGAAGCAACCACTTGGATTTCTCCGGCATCAGATGGAGTAATTTTTTTGATTACAACTGTCTGTTTGACGGTGCATTCATATTTGTCACCAGTACTTATTTTTTCTTCCATGTTTATTCGGTCATTGTAGATTATTGGTTTTTCATTTATTTGCCTGGGTTGAAAAATTTCTTTTTAATTGAGGTTGACCTCAACAACTCTTTCTCTTATTTTGAGACACAAAATATTTGATTCAAAAGGTCAGCTAAATTTTTATATTCAGTAGTTTTTCAATGAAAAAATTATTTTCACTGTAAATTGTCATGATTTAAAGTATTTATTCAACTTCAACTATCTGAGAAACAGCTGACCATTCGAGGAATGCTCTTGGATATCCAGACACAACGCAAATGAAAACAGCATCGTCGTCATCGTAGGCTGTCACGTTTGTGGGCTCTTGTATGAACTTCAGAGATTTGACTGCCGCATTTTTTGATGGAAGAGGAATCTCATGCAACAATTGTAAATTTAAAAAATCAATAATAGGTCGCAAACAATTTTTGCGTCGGTACCTTTTACTTCCAGCTTTCCAATAGCAAATATTTTCCCGGCGGAACTTGAAGCGACGACTTGAACTTCTCCGGCGTCTTCTGCTGTAACATTTTTGTATGTGGCCGTGTGCTTGATGATGAACATGCCTTCTTCGTCGAGATCTGCTGTTTCGTGCAATTTCACTCGATCGCTCAATTTTATAGTTTGTCCGTGTTGTAGCCTGCCATTATTCAGAATGGTTAACCATTTAAACAATGTCCGCATGGTAATAGATTCATGTTCCAAATTATGTTCGTAGGAAAGACAATAAATTAAATAAAAGATGAATACTGATGTTATTTAAAAAGGACAAAATGTATTCAATGTACCACGCGAACCACTTAACATCCGGCCTCGGAAATCCAGAAACAACGCAAATGAAATCTACATCGTCGCCACTTTCGACCGCCATATCAACTGGTTTCACCAAAAAGTTTATTGACGTATCTATGTTGGATGAAGATTATATTGATCTGTCATTTAAACTATTTTTTCACAATTTAAATTATTTACACGTCTGATAAATAACCTTTGACATATAAAATGCAGGATGCATCGATATCTCCCGCCAAATTTGAAGCAACAACCTTGACCTCCCCCTTATCTTCTGCAGTTATTTTCGTGATGACAACCGTCTGTTGGACAATTGTTATGTCGTTCATCTCGATTCTCATCGACTCTTGCAATAATATTCTGTCGCTGAACTTCAACGGTTGACCATTCAGTAACCTTGAGAAGTTATTTCGAAAAAGTCCAATGTGATGAAAGAAGAGTGAGCATTAACTTTTTTTATAAAAACGTTCCCCAACCATTTCGTGTTCGGTTTTGGATATCCAGAAACAACGCAGCTCACAGTAGAGCATTGACCGACAAACGAAGAAACGTCGTTTGGTTTTTCCAAAAATTGCAGAGACTTAACTGAAAATGAAAAATCAGTTGTTATTTTTTATATAAAATTTTGTAAACAGTTGGCGAAATGGCAAGTTTGAAAGACACCTCTACACAAATAGTTTTTTAAGTTTTAAAGAAAGCCGACTAACGAGATAAAAAAAACATTATTATGATCGTTATTTTTTTATACTATATTTTATATTTTAAGTTCAAATTTGTGACAGTTGAGTGAGCAAATGTGATAAAAAACAATATAAGATAAAAAATATTTTAGACCTACTAAATTAAACCAATTTTATTTTCAATTTTTAGAACCTAGATTTTACTGGTTTATCAGCAGCTAATAATATATTACCGTATAGAGTAGTTAATGAAAAATAAAATGTTGTAAATTGTTAAAAGTATCAGATTACACCTTTTATAAATAACAACATATTCTAAATAAACCAAATAAATAAAAACATAAAATGGTAAATGTGGCAAGTGATAAAAACTAAAAATCAAACGAAAATCACTTTTAACGGTCAATGAAGAGGAAGAGGAAATGGATGCAGAGGAATTGGACGCAACAACTTGCACCTCCCCTGCATCAGATGGAGTGATCTTTTTGATGACAACTGTCTGTTTGATGGCAAAGACATTTTCATCAGAGGTGTCCACTTTTTCTTCCAATGTAATCTTATCACTGAATTTTATTTTCCTCCCATTGACATGCCTGTTTTGTGTTTATGTAAAATAGCTGGATCAAAACGTGGCAGTTTCAATTATTACCGGTAAAACGTAGATGAAATCATTTGTTGTCATGAATGAAGCCAAATTCAAATAGTTTTACTTACGAAGAAAGGTAGGGTATATTTACGTAATTTTCCTATACTAATGTCAACTAACCAGTTGATAAGAGGTTTTGGATATCCCGATACAACACATGTAAATGTTGCATCATCTCCGTTAAATGACGTCACATCCAGTGGCTCCTCCAAAAAATTCAACGCTTTTACTGAAAATTGTTCACGAATTAAATCATTTTTCGAAAATAAATATGAATAATTCATTGTAATTATAAAACTGTAAATATTTTTTTTTTTATAAATTAATCGTTTTTTTTATTTTTACTTTTAACATTAAGAAGTGCACTGGCTGATATTACTATCTCCTTCGAATTGGAAGCAAAGACTTCAACGACCCCCTCATCTTCAGCAGTTACTTCACTGATGACCACCACCTGCTTCACGATGGATGCACCTTCATTGCCCTCCTCTACCGTTTCCTGTCGCTTGATTCTGTCACTGAACTCCATGGGACGACCTCGATGCTGCCTGCGTTGGGATCACTTTCGAAATTAAAAATAGTTTCTTAGCACTTGATGACACAAAAACAGAACTAATTGAATTTTAAGATACAATTTCAAGATAGTTGAAATATTTTAATAATCTTTGAAAAATAATTTAATGAAGCTTTGCACCATATGATATCCGGTCTTGGATATGCTGAAAGAGAGCAATTAAATTCAACCCTGTCGCCATCTACAGCTGTTTTGTCCGTTGGCCCCTCCAAGAATTCCAGAGTCACTTCTTAAACGAAAATGTTAAAAAGTGTTCACAGTTACAAATAGTATGAAACATTTTCAAAAGGTTTCAAAGAGTTTTTCATCACAAATGTTCCTGATTGTAACAATTTTATAGAAACGTTAACCCGCTTGTTTTTTTTTACTTTTTTACCTTTATCTCTAGCTTACCTTTAGCAAACAATTTACAGGCTGCAGTGATCTTCCCCACCAAATTAGAAGCCACAACCTTGACCTCCCCCTCATCTTCTGCAGTTACTTTCGTGATGACGATCGTCTGCTGGACAATCGATACGTCATTTCTGTCTGTTTCTATCGACTCTTGCAATATTATTCTGTCGCTGAACTTCAACGGGCGATCGTTCAACGACCTTTGATATTTGTTTGATGAATAGTTTTAAAAAGTCAGCTTTTTATCACTTTTTTAACGGATCAACAAGTTAAGTCACGCTTGATTATTAATAAATAAATGATTGAAAAACTGAAAACTTGAAAAACAAGAAAGTGTTTTCATAATTTTCAAAGCGTTAACGCATACCAAACTATATCTGGCCTTGGATACCCTGCAACGATGCAACTGATTGTAGCGTTCTGGTTGATGTGTGCTGTAATGTCACCTGGCTTTTCACAGAATTTCAATGATTTCGCTGTAAACATGTGACAACAATTTGAATTTGTAAATTTCTTTCACACCTTTTTTTTGAACTGTTTCAAAAATGTAAAATTGCTAAAATGAAATACTTTCAAATACTTTTTGCATAAAAAAAAAGTAAACAAAATATTTTTAGTTTAGACTACCTCTCACTACCAACGTGGAAAATGTGGAAATTTCTCCCGAGGAGTTAGATGCAACAACTTGAATCTTCCCAGAATCGGTTGGAGCAATCTTCTTGATAAGAATTGCTTGCTCGATAGTGCATGCATGTTCGTCATCGGTAACTTTTTGTTCTTTCCTGCTTATTTTATTGTCGTATTGCACTGGCTTTTCGTCTATTAGCCTGAGGTTAGTAGAAGGGAGAATTATAATAATGCCGAATTTTCATTTTATACTTTGCATTTTTAATAGGTATACAATTTTGTTAATGGAGCAGATTAGTAGAGATTTAATTAATATAATGTAGAATGTAACATTGGGAACTTTTAAGATATTAAAGTTAACAAATACGTTAGACGTGAATAATTTGTCAGTAACAACAAAGATACGAACCAATTTATGAGTGGCCTTGGGTATCCTGACACAACACAACTCAACTCAACGTCATCGCCCTCAGTTGCTGTCACTTCATCCGGCTTGCGCACAAACTTCAAAAATTTCTCTAAAAATTCAATTTAATTTCTATGAAGATTCCATCGTGAAAACATGTTGCTAGACTTTTTAAAAATATTCTGTTATTTTCAAAAATCAAAATTTATCACCTTTCACATTCAACGAAGCATTGGCTGTTAAAATTCCCTTCAAATTGGAGGCAACAACCTGAAGCTCCCCCTCATCTTCTGCAGTTACTTCTCTGACGACCACCACCTGCTTCACGATGAATGCACCTTCATTGTCCTCCTCTACCGTTTCCTGCTGTTTAATTCTGTCGCTGAACTTCATGGGACGACCGCAATGCAGCCTGTTTTTGTTATAAGAAATAATAAGCTTATTAAACAACGGAGGGAATTTTTCCAATTGGTTTTGTTGATAGCAGAGAATCCCAAATTAATACTTAACATTTTTTAGAATGGCTTGTCAATTCTTTACAAATAAACAAACGCTTACAAGCACATTAATCGTCGTCCGTAACCAAATGATACTAAAATATTGATTTCTAATAATGCAACCGCTATTTAAGATACTAGTGCAAGATGTTTTCAACCTGTTTGACCAACTTACTAAACAAAAAATTACAATATGAATTGCTTGCTTAAGGCTAGGTAAAATTATATATAATAACCATGCAACATCTGGTTTTGGATATCCCGACACGATGCATCCGAAACTGGTTCGATGGCCGCTGCATAGTGTTACATTTGATGGCGTCTCCAAAAACTTGATAGATAAAACTGCGTATATAGATACGATTAACCGTTAAACAATTTTTTGTTGGGAGTCAAAAAAAAGTAATTTCGCAATTATCTGCTTAGTTGTATCTTGTTTAGTCCAAACAAATTAAAAAAAATCGAATACCTTTAACTCTCAGTTTGCATGATGAATCGATTTTTCCCGCCAAATTAGAAGCCACAACCTTGACCTCCCCCTCATCTTCTCTGGCCACTTTCGTAATGACGATCGTCTGCTGGACGATGGATACGTCATTCCTGTCTGCCCCTGTTGACTCCTGCAATATTATTCTGTCGCTGAACTTTATTGGCTGACCTCCCAGTAACCTTCATAAGCATGAATGATATACGTTGTAATTTGAAGTGAAATACTGAAAATCTTCAGTTTTGTTTAACGGTGATGGTGATAATGTAAGTATTTAAGTAAGTGAGTAAAATTACGTATATTAAAACATTTGAGTGTCCATATATGAAAAATTTGGTTGTAATGAATGAATATATGTTTTTTTTGAGATGTCTCATTATCTGTACTATCAACCTTTTGTTATTTTATGTTAGTGATTGGGACAAACTGGCATTTTATAATTTGAAAATTTTGAAAATTTTTACGTGTTTTAAGCTTTTTATCATATTTTTGGAATTTAAATAGATAAATAGAAAATATCAATTATAATTTTATAGATAACAATTTTAGCAAATGTTACTAACCAATGTAAAACCGGTTTGGGCTGCCCCGAAACTACAGCACTGAATGTAGCATTGTGATCAGCATAAGCCGTAACATCATTCGGGCTTTCCAAAAATTTCAGAGACTTAACTGCAAAAATTTTGGTGTTTTTTTTCAATTTTTTAACAAAACTTGGTTTTTTATTCGGAACTATTTTTAAGGGAGGGAATGATGAATATTGTGTAATAATTAGTTTCGCTATTAAAATTGACAAAAAACCTTTAACGGTTAACAGAGAAGACGTAGAAATGTTTCCAGCAGCATTAGACGCAACAACTTGAACCTCCCCTGCGTCATTTGGACTGACTTTTTTCATTGATACCGTTTGTTTGATGGTGGAAACATCTCCATTGTTGATGTCAACTTTTTCAACAATTGTTATTCTATCATTCGATTTCAGAGGCTTGCCATTCATATGCCTGGAAATGTATGTAAAACGTTCGTCAAGTTTTCAATCTGTTTTTGTAAAATACCAAATTAAAAAGGATAAAACTCTTAAAAACCACGCTCATCTATTTTTACTCTCTAGTTGCTTATGATTTTAAAAACACCTTAACCTGCCAGAGGTCGTGTGAACAAATTCATACCATTATGAGTTTATCTTATAATTTACTTGCCGAAGCCTTTGTCCTCTTATTTTCTTGTTTTAGTTGTTTCTATCAATTAACTCGTTTTTCGTAATAAAATTTTGCTTTATCAAACTGTGAGCAACACTTTTCCGAAAGCGAGCACGTTAACAAAATCGTCAAGTTGATGTAAGCGTTATAAAAATCTAATATTTTTTTGATATTCTCTTTCCTAAATTCATCTAATGTAGACATTTCAATCATTTGAAATATTGATTATGAAAAACCATACGCACCAGTTGAGCAGCGGTTTTGGAGATGCCAATACCACGCAAGTGAAAGTAGCATCGTCATCGCTGTAAACTGTGGCGTCGACGAGTCTTTCCAAAAATTTCAACAATTTTTCTGCAATTACATTAGACATTAGAGTATAACACTAAGAATGCTGATGTTGCGTTTGAAAAAGTAACAACGATTTTTGTTCATAATGAATATCACCTTTCACATTCAACGAAGCAGTGGCCGTTAAAGTTCCCTTCAAATTGGAGGCAACAATCTGAAGCTCCCCCTCATCTTCTGCAGTTACTTCACTGACGACCACCACCTGCTTCACAATGGATGCACCTTCATTGTCCTCTTCCACTGTTTCATGCTGTTTGATTCTGTCGCTGAATTTCATGGGACGACCGTGCAACAACCTTTTGTTTTTTAAGTTTAATTTTATTAGGGATACTCTATGAGAGATTTTTCGAGATTTATTCAGTAATGAAAACTTTTTTTTACAGTCAACATACTTCTATAAGAATGTAATCGAAATATAAAATTAATTCGAACCATTCAACACTGGGTTTTGGGTGTCCCATTACAACGCAGTTGAATTTCACTTCATCACCACCGTAAGCAAATGAACTCAACGGTTTTTCCAAAAATTGTATCAGCTTTTCTGAAAAAGTGATAAATATTGCTTTCGGTGATATTTGTTATAAATTTAAAAATAATGGGAATTCTTTTGCTAAGATGTTTTATCTAACCTTTGGCTTTTAAGATGCAGAATGTTTGTGTGTTTTTGAAAGAGTTGGAAGCCACGACTTGAACTTCTCCAACATCTTCTGTAGTTACTTCATTGATGAAAACTGTCTGCTTTACGGTGAACACATCATTTGTGTCGGTCTCAATCAACTCTTTCTTGGTTCTTCTGCCGTCAAACTTCAATTCACTCCCGTTAATAAACCTTTTAGCATTTTTTATAAAAATTAAATTTATTCACGCACATTATTTAAATTTAAAATTTGCCTGATTTTTGTTCTTATGAAACCGAAATCTGTTTTTCATTATTATCATATAAATGAAATTGTATAAACTAAAACTAAAAGGTCTCAGCAAGAAATTGTTTTTAATATCAAATGTCATACAATTATATGGGTGAAAAAAAATAAAACAATGCGAACCATTGAATATTTGGCATTGGCAATCCAGAAACAATGCACTCGAATGATGCACCGTCACCAAAATATGTCGTTAAGTCAGTTGGTTTTTTCAAAAATTCTATGGACGCAACTGCAAAAATTGTAAAAATGAAATTGAGTCTGTGGTCCTTTTGTGACGATGGTGTGGTGGTTTTATGGTTCGTAAAGTTTCAACATTCAGGATATTGTTTTTTATTTATTTTTGTCATTAAGCTTTTCGCGATAGTTCCAAATTTTTGGACTAAAAAAATGTAATTATGTATAGTAACAAAAATAGTTTCATTATTAAAAAAAATTTATTTAAACTTCATAAAAAGTTATATTTTTTAAAACATCGGTCACGTCAATCAATAATGTTAGTTGTTTACCTTTTACGATTAATGAAGAAGACGCAGAGGAATTTCCTGTGCTGTTGGAAGCCACTACCTGAACTTCACCTTCGTCGGTCGGTGCGACATTTTTGATGACGATCCTCTGCTTCACTACAAACACATCTTCAACTTCCTCTATTTCCTCTTTCAATTCTATTCTCTCGTTGTATTTTATCAGCTGCCCATTTACGCGCCTGTTTAACGTACGAGGGGAGCGAGTTTAAATCATTTTGGAAATTTCATCATTTGAGAAATATAACAAAAATTATGATTTTCAACATTGTTTTGACTTAACATTTGAAGCTGTATCACTTAATACAATAAATCAAAAATTTGTCTTTTTGATTATGTAAACAAAAATTTCAACATTTTTCAAATCAATTCCAGGTCTTTCAGAATACACACCAAATTAACTCTGGTTTTGGATACCCTGACACGAAACAACTGAAAGGAGCATTGTCTCCATCGTATGCTCTAATGTCCGTCGGTTCAGCAAGAAATTTCAGTGATTTTACTGCAAAACCATGTACAATTGTAATTTTGCAAACTTAAATTTTCAAAATCACTTTGAATTTTTCATTTCAAAACCTCAATTTAGCAACATCAGTATTGTACGAATAAGTTTTGGTGGTAATTATCCTGAAAATTGTTAACCTTTTACTACTAGCGGAGCACTTTTGGAAATCTTGCCAGCAGCGTTGGAAACAACAACCTGAATGTCTCCAGCATCTGATGATCTAACTTCATTTATGGTGATTTTCTGTTTTATTCTGAACGTCCCATCCTCGTTAGTGTCGATTGTCTCTTCCTTTACAATTCTTTCGTCGAATTTCATCGGATTGCCACGGAGCAACCTGTCGGTTTCGTTATGTAAATGTATAATATTTTACCTATTTCACTGTGGAGACAATTTAATAGCTTTGTGTGTGTGATGTGTGTGTGATTGTGCGTGCGTTTGTGCCTCCGATTTATTATAAAAAATATTGCGATACAATTTTTAGCATGCATGTGATGAGTTATTCAAACTAAAATGTTCATCCTCTTAAACGGCTCTTTAATTTTAGTGGTATTTCAGCTAAAATCAAAATTTAAAACAACGATTAAAAATTAAAATCCCGGATTATATTAACAATGAACGAATGTTGGTACAACCGTACGAACCAGTCGAAATCTGGTCGCGGGTATGCACTGACGGTGCACGTGAAAGTTGCGAAATCGTTGTCGCAGGCGGTCACTGCAGATGGAATCTCCAAAATATTTAACAATTTTTCTGAAAAAAAAATTGATTTATCTAGGATTCAATAGTAGAAATTAATAAACAAAAAAACTGACGTATTTTATATTTTGAAAATTTTAATAAAATATTTGAAAGGTATTTAGCGCAGTCACCTTTAACTGCTAAACTACAAGTTTGGACAAGTTTTCCAGAGAGATTAGAAGCCACGACTTGAATCTCTCCTCCATCTTTTAGACTAACTTTCTTGAAAAATATTTTTTGTTTTATCGTCGTCACTTCGTTCGCGTCAGTGTCAATCGTTTCTTTGATGAGAATTCTTTCATTGAAACGTAACGCTTTGCCATTCAATAACCTGCCAATTCAATAGATGGCTTTGTTGCATATCGCATATTAAACCAAAAATTACGTATATATTTTAAAATTTTATATTTTTATATTTATATAGGTTTTTTCAGAATGAAAAATTGTTTAATTAAAAAGTTACAAAATCACTAAAACAGTCCTTTCTAACCAGTGAACATCGGGTTTGGGCGAGCCGAGCACAACACATTGGAGAGTCGCTTCGTCATCGGGGAGTGTTGAAACGTTCTCTGGCTTCTCCACGAACTCCAACAACTTCACTAACAACAACAACAAATTCACTAACAACAACAACTTAACTAACAACAACAACTTAACTAACAACAACTTAACTTACAACAACAACTTAACTTTTCAACAACAATTTCACCGACCACATCAACATCAACGTTAAAGTAGATTCTTACGATACATGATACAACTACGAAAAACACACCAAGTTATAATTCTCTCAAATCAAAATTATAAAAACTCTTTTTAAAACTTATTACGTTCTATAACTTTTTAGAACTTATATTCGTTATTGCTTCTTAATTTAATTTTTAACACACTCCTAATGCGAGTTTATGTAATTAAGAGAATTTGAAGCGAAAAGCCAAACCAACTTTTGTTCATCAAACTACAGACTTCAGTTAATTTTCCAGAAAGATTGGAAGCCACAACCTGAACCTCCCCTAAGTCTTTTGGGTCAAGTTTTTTTATAGTAATCTTATGTTTTACAGTGGAAACATCATTCGTATCAGTGTCGATTGTCTCTTTGATCATGATTCTGTCATTAAATTCAAGCGGCTTGCCGTTAATTGACCTGGATTATGAAATGTTTGAGAGTGGAAATTCGTGATTTACCAGCATTCAAGAAAAATTTCATGTGGGCGGTGAAATGGTGCAGTGGTTAAAGGCGCCTGGTCGTGATGTCCTGTGTTCCAGTGACTGGGTTCAAATGCAGAAAAATTCCTGCCTATCGCACGCTATGTATCTGATGTGTTGATTTGCATTTAATTACGTGATCTGCTTTTGTCGTTGATGTCATTGAGTAATGCATCAAGAAATAATTTTTATTACTATTACAGTTACTTTTAATTTCATTATCATTTGTTTAAATTGTTGAAACTATTTTTTATAAAGCTAAATAATCACTAATGGCGTCGTGTATACTGAAATATTGAAAAATTCAAACCAATAAAGAACTGGTCTCGGTGATCCAGAAACCACACAACTGAAAGTTGCGTCTTTACCAAAGTACGATCTTGCATTCGTTGGCTTCTCCAGGAATTCCAGATATTTTTCTGATAAAAAATTATTTAAAGACTTTTTCCCCACTTTTATTGAAAAATACATTTAAAAAACAAACATCATGATAAAAATTGTCGTTAGTCTGGTTTAAATTTGTCATACCACCTTTAACACTCATTGATGACGACGCATAAATGTTTCCAACTGAATTGGAAGCTACGACTCTGATCTTTCCCGCCTCCGTTGTAGCCACATTTTTGATGGTGATGACTTGCTTCACGGTGTATACATCGTCATCGAAATTGGTGGTTTCCTCCAGTGCTATTCTGTCGTTCTTTACAATTGAGCGGTCACTTAAGGTCCTTCAATGTTTGCAATAGTTTTGTGAGATGGTTTTGCGTTTGTTTTGAGTTTACGTACAGTTATATCCGTTTTTTTTGCATGTTTGCTTGGTATATATTGAAATTATTTTTTAATTTAAAAAATATAATCTTCATTAAAATTTGTGTACCAATTAATGATTGGCTTGGGATAACCTGACACGATACATTTGAAAGAAACTTCGCCGTCGTTGTAACATGTGGCGTCAGCTGGTTTCTCCACAAATTTCAATGATTTCTCTGTAAGCATTTTCGGTAAACATTTGAAAAACTTAAAAACAAATTATTAAATTATATTAGTTTTATTTTTTTCCTAATTATTAGTCCATTGTTACTTTTCAAGGTCAACTTGGCTGCTGAAAATATTTTCCCACAGCTGTTGGAGGCCACGACACGAACTTTTCCTTCGTCGGCTGAAATGATTTTATTGATGACGACCGCCTGTTTGATGACGAAAGTATCTTTCTCATCAATAATTACACTCTCCTCCATGTTGATTCTGTCGCTGAATGTCATCTGCTTGCCGTTCAGTTGCCTGTTTTGTCGGGTTTAGTTAAGTACTTTTAATTTACCACAAAGAATTTAAAGACTGCAATAGTGTTTTTACATTTTTAACAGAATTTTACCAAAATATTCTTAGTTGTTTCAAAAATTAATAATCATTATGAAAGGAGAATAAGCTGGGAGTTACGAACCAGTCAACGATCGGTTTAGGATATCCCATCACAGAGCAACTGTAGGATGCGTTTTCGTCAATGTACGTCGTCACGTCGCTAGGCTCGCTCACGAACTTCAGACTTTTCGCTGCACGAATGAAGTTTGCTTGATTTGTTCGAAATGTTTGTAATTTGAAATGGAGATCAAATCGATCGTTGGGATTCATGAAAATTATTAAATGTTTTTTAACAGTGTTTCACGTGCACATAAGAAGTATACACGATACGAAATTATAATATAGGACTTGTACTTTTGTACCATTCAAAACTCCAATAATATTTTGCAATCAATATTTGATCGTTTGACTGGATTAATAATGCACTTTAAAATTTATAACAAGGCCCATCGCAAAAATTCTTTAAAAAAATAAATATTCCCTAACCTACCTCTAACTACGAACGGGGCACAGCAGGATAATTTTCCAGCTGAATTAGACGTTTCAATTTGAACCTCTGAACTACCTGACATTGCGACCTTTTTGATCTTGATGGTCGTCACCTGTTTGATGGTGAATCTGCCCTCCTCATCAGTGTCTACCGTCTCGTCTAGGGTCGTATCCTCGATGGACATTTTTTCCCTACTGGGCAGTGTCCTGTGGTGGTTTTTTTTATCGGTGGGGAAAAATTTTTCGAATTCTGAATAAAGTGCCGGTTAGGTAGAAATAATTTTTTGATTTTTGATTATTTGTATATATTTATAATATATTTTAAAATTTGATTCAATAAATTTATACTCTTCATCTTAATTTGCAATTTTTATTCTTGCAGAATATTACGTTTTGTTATGTTAAACATTTCAATAAATATATTTTGCAAAATAAACTTAAAACTGAAATTCTTTTAATAATTCTGCTTGTAGAGAAATTGACCAAATTTTTAAATTTTAACAAGCCCGTTATGAATGGCATCAGCAAATAGCGTTCAAAATGTTTTACCAGGGAACAACAAAATTGGAAATTCTTCCTACCAAAAGATATTGGGCTTCGGGTAACCCGAAACGACGCAACTGAACACCGCTCGGTCATCATCGCTGACCGTTACTCCAACCGGCTTCTCCACGAACGATATCGAATTTTCTGGAAAAATTCAAATTTTTCAATTTGAAAATTTTTCAGTGAGGCAGGCTCAAGCAAAAATTTTATCAAATACTGAAATGATTTCAACATTTAAAATTCTTGACCTACGTCAATTTTTTCGGAATTATTTTGAAAGATTTTCAAAATTTCACCTTTGACCGATAAGTTGCAGGTTTCAGATATTTCACTGAAAATATTATAAGCCACGACTTGAACATTTCCTCCGTCTTCCGGTATAACCTTTCTAATTGTGATCCTCTGTTTGATTGTGGATACCTCATTTACATCAGTGTCAATTGTCTCTTTCATCAATATCCTGTCATTGAACTGCACTGGCTTACCGTTTATTAACCTGTTAAGCAATATTCGGAACTAAAGGCTAAATTTTAACATCTATTTTAATCAGATGTATTGCTTTAAAATAACTAACAATAAAAGTTCAATTTTATTTTATGTTATACATGAATTTATTGAAATTAAAAGCTATGAAATTATTTGAAAATACGTAAAAACATTTCAAACCAGTGAAGGTCCGGTTTTGGTGATCCGGAAACGGCGCAACTGAAGGTAGCTTCCTCATCGGGATAAACTCTGGCATTCGTCGGTTTTTTCAGAAATTTTAATGATTTCGCTGGAAAACATGATGTAGTTAACATGAAATTATAATATTATAAAATAAATGCCTAGAATGCCTAAATGTTAAGTTTCAAAATTAATTAATTATCTAATATTTGTATACAAAAAATTTTCATCAAGGTTTTAAACACTTGAGAATAAATACCAGCTTGAATGTTAGAACCAAAATATATATAAATGAACGAGAAAATATCATTACTATTTTTATTTCTAATTTTATAAGGAATATTACTTTTGATTTTCAGATCACAGGCTTCAGTTAATTTTCCTGAAAGGTTAGAAACCGCAATTTGAACTTTACCGACATCTTCTGAAGAGACTTTCTTGATTGTAAGCTTTTGCTTTATCGTGGATACATCATTCGCGTCGGTATCAACTGTCTCTTCAATTAAAATTCTGTCGTTGGAAACAACTGGTCTGCCATTAATTGTCCTGGAGATGACCCAACGTTCAGACGTTTTGAGAGCGTGATTGAGGCACGAAATTTTGGATTATAAACACTGACATATAAAAAAAATTTTCTTTACTTTCTCTAGTAATAAAAAATTCTACAATAATTATAAAATTAATAAAAATTTATAAAATAACTATAAAATTCAAAAAACAATTGAAACCATTGCACATCTGGTTTAGGCGATCCTGTTACAACGCAGCTAAAAGTTGCATCCTCTTCAATGAAGGTAGTCACATTTTTGGGTTTTTCTACAATTTCTAGGGATTTCACTATAATGAGGTGAGAATCATTTGTGAGTTTTATTTCAATATTTAAACGAAATCAATGGCGTTTCATTTTAGTTTAAGAGTGCGATGTAAGGCAATGAAGCTTTATTTTCGATTGGTTTGTAACATCCTGCTCAATATCAATTTCAACATTCATAAACGCAGTGTAAGTGTTCATTGCTTCAAAATCAACAATGTGTATTTTATTGAAAAGGAAACATTTCAATGAATCTGTTACCTTTAACTATCAAATTGCAAACGTCATTTAATTTCCCGAAAAGATTGGATGCCACAACTTGAACCTCTCCTCCATCTTCTGCCTTAACGTTCTTAATGGTGATCTTTTGTTTTATCCTGGTAACGTCATCCACATCTGTGTCAACGGTCTCTTTAATCAGTATTCTGTTGTCCAATATTACTGGTCTGCCGTTGATCAACCTGTGTTTAACGTGCAACATTTTTCACTTGGCCAAAAATTTTGTTACTATTTTACGTGCTATACAGACCCTTTTTCTTCTTTTTTCTTAAATGAAGGAGATAAATGATAAAATAGAACGACAACATTTTCTTGGCGTGTGTGCAATTTGAGGATTTAATGTTTTAACTCAATGAAGTTACAAAAAACTGAAAAATCCCAACCAATGAACGTCTGGCCTAGGTGATCCGGATACGGCAGAGCTGAACGATGCGTCTTCACCAAAATATGTTGTTACATTTTTCACTTTCTCGAGAAATTCTAATGATTTTACTATAGGGAATGTTATAATAACTTTAAGTAAAAATTTTTTCAAGTTTTATAATGATAATGCCAATATAATTCTTATAAAATAAATTTATAAGTTTGAGCAAAATATTAAAATGTAATATGTTATGATTATTTTCAATTCAACGTTAAACTCTTTTTTTATCAAAAAGGCAATTGTGATGTACAATTTTTAGAACGTTTTATGCCTAGTTACTTTTGGCTGTCAGTCTGCAGGATTCAGACAACTTTCCGAAAAAATTAGAAGCCACTACTTCGATCGTCCCGACATCTCCTGGAGATATTCTCTTAATGGTAACCATCTGCCTCACTATGGACACGTCGTTCAAATCGGTTTCGACTGTTTCTTTTTTTAATATTCTGTCACTGAAAACTACCGGCTCGCTATTCATTAACCTGCAAATTAAAGTTGGAATTTTTGATAAAAGCCAGAGGATATCTATTGTAAAATAAATTTTAACATTATTTTTAATAAGAGATAAGAATAGACGCGATTGTTTTTTTTAATAAAATGTAGTAGGTTAGAAAAACTCAAACCATTGAATATCTGGCTTAGGTGAGCCCGACACGACACAATTAAAAGTTGCACCCTCATCTAGGTATGCTGTCACATTTTTCGGTTTCTCAACAAACTCCAATGACTTCGCTATTCAGTAGAAAAACGAACAATTTGGGAAAGTTTTTAAAAGTTTTATTTAATATAGATGTTAATACTAGGTTGAATGAAAAAGTAATGCATAAAATCCCAATTTGGTATTTTCAACATTCGAAATATTAAACTCAATTTTTTATCTATTAATAAAATGTTGAATGAATTCAAACCAAGTTGATAATTTATTAAATTTTGTAACTATTTTGAAATAACCTTTGACTTTTAAATTGCAGACTTCACTTATTCTTCCACCGAGATTGGTAGCCACAACTTGGACATTCCCCACATCATCTTCAGTTACTTTTTTAATTGTAACTCTTTGTTTAACAGTGGCCACATCATTCAGGTCAGTGTCAACAGTTTCTTTTATTAATATTCTGTCGTTAAACTGTACTTCTCCATCGTTTATTAACCTGTCGAGCAGAGAGTTCAAAAATGTGTGATCAACGTTAGTCACATTTTTATAGAAAAAGGTGGCAAAAGTTTTTTTTTCAAAAAAAAGAAAGAATTTTCTGTCAAGTTATAATTTAAAGCTGAAATAATTCAGACCAATGAAGTTGAGGTCTAGGTGCTCCCGATACAACACAGCTAAAAGTCGCATCCTCCCCAAGGAAGGTTCCTTGATTTTTCGGTTTTTCTATAAACTCCAGCGAGGTTGCTGGTTACAAATGAATGTAATTAAAATTCACGTATTATAAATTATTTGCAGAGTTTTTAAACACTGTTTCTAATACATTATTAAAAATGTTTAAAATCATTTTTATATTTCTAAGGTTTTGTTAAACATTATGTTTGACAATCTAGCTCCAGTATTATTACAATAATATGTTTCAGTAAACTTGTTGTAACTGAAAAAGAGCATGTGTGATTCATAATTTTAAAATTTACAACGACATAAAAATGACGTTTTTTCACACTAACCTTTAGTTGCTAGATTGCATGTTTCAATTAATTTTCCAATAAGATTGGAAGCCACAACCTGAACCTCCCCCACATCTTCTGAGGACACTTTTTTGATGGTGATCTTATGTGTTATAGTGGAAACATCATTCGCATCGGTCTCAACCGTCTCTTCAATCAGGATTCTCTCGTTGAATTCAACTGGCTTGCCGTTGATTAACCTTCAAGTGATTGACTTATCTGAAGCATTCTGTGTAAACTCAACTTCTACACATTTTTGACATAAACTTATCGCACATATTCATTTGAAGTTATTGCCACTATTAATTATAATGTTTAAATAATAAAATTTAAAAATCTTTCATTAATATATTATTTAAAAATGGAACAATATAATAAAATCTATAGAAATGTAACGCGACACGAACCAATAAACACGTGGCTCTGGTGATCCGGATACGATGCAGTTGAAATTAGCACAATCCTTAAGATACGTGGAAAGACTTTTCGGCTTCTCAAGAAACTCCAGCAACATGGCTGATTAAATTGATTTAAGAAATAATAGTTGTTACTGAAATGTTTGTAAAATAATTTTAAAAGATACCTCAAGAAACAAATTTTAGCTGCAGCTGTTTTAAATAACCACTAATTTAAAATTTTGAAATTAGCACAATCCTCAAGATACGTGGAAAGACTTTTCGGCTTCTCAAGAAACTCCAGCAACATGGCTGATTAAATTGATTTAAGAAATAATAGTTGTTACTGAAATGTTTGTAAAATAATTTTAAAAGATACCTCAAGAAACAAATTTTAGCTGCAGCTGTTTTAAATAACCACTAAATATGACCGTTCAACACAAAATAAATGTCAAAAAAATAAAAACCGATATTGTTATTTTGAAATATTTTGATATGGTACACAAAATTGTGGCTAGTAATAAAATTCGTTACTTGTAGAAGAATAAGAAGTTACAAAGTCTCAAAAGTTTAACATTTCCAACCACCTTTCACAGTCAGCAACGAGGATGCGTGGATGTCTCCAGATGAATTGGAGGCATCAACTCCAACTTCTCCAGAGTCTTCCGGTCTCAATTTTCTGATGACGACCACATGTTTTACTGTGTGCTTGCCATCGTCATGGTCTGCTACCACGTTTTCTTCCAGCGAGATTCTGTCGTTCGCTTCTATCGGCTCCTTGTTAAGAGTCCTGCGATGCAAAATAAATTTGTGGAAAATAATTTTGTAACAGATAATTTTTTTCAGTTTGATTTTCGAGAAAATTTTTTTGTAAATTGAAAACAATTATTAAGTCATAATTTTAATCTAACGTATTTACATATGATATTTCTTAACAATTTTTGTTGCAAAATATGTAAATCTAAATGCTTATTTTTTTTACAATTTGACGACTAAATATTTCTATTCATTATATAATAATAAAAGAAGCATTATTTAGAGTTAAAAGCTGAACAAACCAACGAAGGACAGGCTTGGGCGAGCCTGACACGACGCAACTGATGCAGGCACTGCTGCCGCTGTAAGTTACGACATCTGTCGGCCGGTTCAAAAACTCCAATGATTTCGCTGCATGAATTTTTGATTATGCAATTTTTTTTATAAATACAGTCAAACCTCTTTATAACGAACTTCTATACAACGAAAACCTCTATATAACGAATTTTTCATGTTCCTTGTAATTTTACAAATTAAACTGTTTCTATGAAACAAAAATAATTTCTCTATAACGAATAATATTTATAAAAGTTAAAAAAAATATCCGATGAATTGATATAAGCGGTGTCTTTGTACACCTTTAATTTTCTATAGCCATATTTACTGTTTCTTGTTCTATTATTCTAGTAAGTTTTACCAACTCTACTTTGAATAATTCAAATGGAATTGAAGTCATCGTTGCATGAAACAAAGAATAAATTTCGCTTCTAAAATTTTAATTTCTAACTTTCTGTTATCAAATAATTGATTAAAAGATTTTTTATATAAATTCTTTTTTTTGCAGCTTAACGGCGTTTCAACACAGTGCGGCTATTTTTACGCCATTGGATCATTAGAAACTAATTATTTTTTGTGACATCTAGAGAACTTCAAATTCTGTTGATCAAATCTATCTCCTCCACGAATGAAATCAAGACTTCCTGACTTCTATTCTGGAAGAGCAATTCTACATTTGATGGAACCCCGAGTTTCCTTCTGATCTGATTGTATTTTTCACATTCAGTTAATATATGCTGAATAGATAGTTTTTTGTCACAGGCTTCACAATAAGATGGTTTTGTTTGGTTGAGGATCCAGGAATGTGTGATTGTTGAGTGTCTTATTTTTAATCTGTTGATAACAGACTGAAGATGACGATTTAAATAACTATTTTTGAACTTTTTGTTATTTACTGATGGCATACATAATTTTATAAAAATTGATGTTTTATAAATTCATATCATATAAGCACATTTCGGGAAATATAGAGTTTTTTCCCCGAACAAATTCTATTTAACGAAATTTTTATATAACGAATATTTTCCTGGAACCATCAAATTCGTTATACAGAGGTCCGACTGTATTGAAACAATAATAAATTTGTTTTGTATAAGTTTTTATGATTAATTTTTCGACATGATAAGCCAGTTACCTTGGACAGTTAACTTGGCAGCGGAAAAGACTTTTCCAGCTGAATTGGAGGCAACCACTCGAACATCTCCAGCGTCAGCTACTGTTACTTTTTTGATGGCAACCGTTTGTCTGATGGTCGATAAGTTTCTTTCAATGCTGCTAATTTTTTCGTCCATGCTAATTCTTTTATCGTCTGTTATTGGCTTTCCATTGAGGAACCTGGGTTGAAAAATTCGGATTATTTATTACTTTATAATTAGAAACTGCAAACAGCGTTCAAAAAATTTTAGGACAAGGAAGAAAGTTTAAAAATTTAAAGTAGAAACTTTTCAAAAGTTTCAAATTTCATACTTGAAGAACTTCTTAAAAGGGAAAGTTAAGAAAATTATTTTCAGAAATTAACTCAAAAAAAATTCAGTTCAACAACCAGGTATAGATTACAATAAAATAAATCAATTTAAAGCCAAATATCAAAGGAAAGATTAACTTATGCTTGCTAACATTATCGATTCAAAACCAATGAGATGTAGAGCAAATTTTATGTAATAAAAATGGCGGCACAACTAATTATTCACAAAACGCCAAACCTCAAACCATTTTTATCACAATTTCATTTATGAACACTCAAAAATACTTCCTCATGTTATTAAATTATTAAAAAAAATTGAAATAAATTAAGCCAGAGCGCAAAAACCAGTCGATATTTGGTCTCGGATAGCCAGAGATCGCACAAGCAAACGCAACATTCTCGTCGTCGTATGTCGTAACATCAGCTGGCCTCTCCAAAAACATCAACGATTTGGCTGTAGAAATAGCATTTCAAAATAAATCAACAATAAGATAAACTTCATGCTTGACATCTCGAATAATTTATTCACCTTTCACATTTAACGAGGCACTGGCTGATATTCTTCCAGCTACACTGGAAGCCACAACCTGAAACTCTCCCTCATCTTCTGCAGTTACTTCACTGACGACCACCACCTGTTTCACGATGGAAGCACCTTCATTGTCCTCCTCTACTGTCTCCTGCTGTTTGATTCTGTCGCTGAACTTCATGGGGCTGCCGTTGTGATACCTGTTATAAGTTTCCACGAATACAATGGATTGATTTTTATTTTATGAACAATGTTGATAACTTGAAATTTTTTTCACAAAACGTAACCAACCAAGTCACATTAGGTTGCTGTGATCCGGAAACAATGCAAGAGAACTGAACATCGTCCTCGATATCCACAGAGCAATCGGCTGGCTTCCTCAAAAACTTTATAAACTTTTCTGTAATAATAAACAAATTGAAGAAAAAAACTCTTCTAATGGAACAGCATTTTATAAATTAGATACATTAAACTCTATTAACCTTTCACTACCAAAAAGCATGTCGCCTCAACACTTCCACCCTGGTTCGTAGCAACAACTTGAACTTCTCCTCCATCGGTTGGGATGAGTTCTTCGATGAAAATGGTCTGTTTCAATACCGACACGTCATCTTCCTCACTGGTCCCCACTTCTTCTTTTAGATACATTCTTTCATTGAATTTCATCAGCTGGCCATTCATGTGCCTGAATTGAGTCGTTAATTGTTCTTATATTTGCAAGATCTTTTTTCATTAAAAAATGTTGGGATTAATATTCATTAGTTTATTATTTGAATATTCAAATTCCCACAAACCATTTAAGATCCGGTCGTGGAAACCCTGACACGATGCAGCTGAAGACAGCCTCGTCACCATGGTAGGCTTTCACATCAGATGGACGACTCAGAAACTTTAAAGATTTTACTGCAATGATTTTAAAAAATTATCTCGGCTAACGAACTTTTTAATTTGAATTTTACTTTTTTTCAAAAAACAAAATAACAGTAGACAACTTTGATTTTTACAATAAATTGTTGAATAAAACGACCGTACTTTTGACGTTCAATTTGGCTCTGGCAGATATCTGGTTGGCTGCATTCCAGGCAACAACTTTCACATCTCCATCATCTAACAGGGAAACTTTTTTCAACACAAGTGTCTGCTTCACTGTCACTTCATCATCATCTTCGTTAATTTTTTCTTGTAACGATATTCTACTGTCGAAGAATACAGGCTGGCCATTCAACAACCTGTGTTACATTTATTTATTAAATGGGATTGTCTCACGCGTTGGTGTTTTTATCACACTAAAATCACCGCAAGAACGTCATAATTTTATTTCTTGGTAGTACGATGACTTATTAGCTTTACATACTCAAATTACTTTACACTCCGCAATAAAGTTTGAGACGAATGATAAACACAAACCAAATGATATCTGGTTTCGGCAATCCACAGACAACGCAGGTAAGTGAGGCACTGTCATCATAAAAGGCGGTCACATCTTCGAGTTCTTGTAAAAACTTTATTGACTTTACTGGAGCAAAAATATTTCAAAATCAGAATAACTAATAATGAAAAGTAGTTTGTTAAAGATTGCTTTGATAATTTCAATATTGAAACTTGTAAAATTTTTAACAATAAATCGCTAGTCCAAATAATTTTAACCTTTAGCAATCAACATGCACGATGCATCGATCTCTCCCGCCAAATTTGAAGCCATAACCTTGACCTCCCCCTCATCTTCTGACGTCACTCTGGTGATGACGATCGTCTGCTGGACGATGGATACGTCATTCTTGTCTGTACCTACTGTCTCCTCTTTAGCGATTCTGTCGTCAAATTTCAACGGCCGGCCATTGATTCTCCTGTCGTGAAATTCGTTTCTTCTCACAGCAACGTGTTAAATACATTATAACTTTATTTTTGCCTTAGGTGTTGGACCATTTGGAGCTTTTTTCAAATCAATTATTTAGTTTTATATTATTTTGTTCATTTTTGTTCGTTTGATTTTTAATATCAAAGTTGGAAAATAATAAATTGCAAATATTTTTTAAACTCTTCAAAAGCAGACCATTTTATATTTGGAGTGGGAGAGCCAAGAACAATGCACTTGAAGGTAACTCTGCCATCAACATGAGTCACCACGTTGTTTGGCTTCTCCAGAAATTTCAACGATTTACCTGACAAAATTATTACCTTCAATTAAATTTATCTATTTTCACTGTAAATGTAACTTTAGCTCAACGCGATAATATCTCGAATAAGTTCAGTAAAAAATAATTACAGAATGCTAGTAAAATTTGCCTGTCCTCCGTAATATGAATAATAATTTTTCGTTATATAAATTATAATTTTATAAATCGTACTTAAATAATGATTATTTGATGAAATAAAACCAAATAATCACCTAAAAATTAATAAAAAAAAGATCACTTTTAATCCTTAAAGTAGCAGAAGCAGAAGCTCTTCCCGCCGAATTGCTGATGACCGCAGAAACGTCTGCTGCATCGTCCTTAGTTACGTTGTGAATACTGATCGTCTGTTGGATGATGAAGTCAGCTTCACTCAGCACCAATTCTTCTACCTTTATCCTCCCGCCAAACTCCAGTGGCGCTCCGTTGATAAACCTGTGTTGGAGAGATGTTGTTGTTGTTGTCTGGTTGGTCAGTTGCTGGAGACGACGTTTTAGGAGATTGTGACATCGTTGATGTTGAAGTTGGAATTGTGAGTTTAGAGTTTATATATCTTTGTATATATAGATTGTTATTATTATTATAATCTATAGAGATTTTTGAATAATGTCTAAAAAATATGAATGATATCTGTCAATATTTTTAACTTTTTAAATTCATTTATATAGTTTTACGTTATAAAAAACACTTTCATGATAGACAAAACTATTATAAATGTAAAGATAATCTCACTGCAAACGACAACCACCCCAACCACACCCCACCAACCAAGCCACATCTGGCTTCGGACTTCCAGACACAACGCAATGAAACGTGGCGTCACCGTCCTCATACGTGATCACATCTTTTAGAGCCTCCACAAATTTTGGCGCTTTAACTAGAAAATAAAAAACAAATTTCAACATTGATTTGTTGAAGTCTTCAAGAAATTCTTTGGTGCTTTCAACACTATCATATGCTACAAAAATGTCGTCAACATATCGGCAGTATATACGTGGTTTTAGCTGTGGCTTTTTGTTGGATATTGTTTCTTCCAGCTAACCGACATAGAAATTTGCAATGAGTAATTCCAAATGGAGAGCCCATCACAACACCATCAGTCTGTTTATATAATTTCTTATCTGGTCCATAGAATGGAGTCTCCGTTGTACACAATTTTAACAGTTTTTCTAAGTTTCTTTTGGAGATTGGTGGTAGTTCAAGCGTTGAGTCAAACATTTTGTTCAGTACATTTCAGCGAATCAAAGTTGAAATTTAAAATAGAAAAGGCAGAAAACAACAGACTACCATTCCTCGATGTTTAAGTTCATGGCAACAATACCAAATGTAAAACCTCGGTTTACACAAAGGCTTCAAACAAAGATCTATGCCTAAACGAATGAATTGAATGTTACAAGAAATTCCTAGAGAGTACAACCGCATCGTTTGTAAACCGCGTCACTCATAACCTATATAAACAGTCACATAAATCAATATACTAAGAGCGTTTGACACACTAAGAACGTACCTTTGCTTATGATCGGTGTTGGCGGAATTCGGAGTGTGGTCGGTAGATGGTCCTCCCGTACGATCATTTGACTCTTCAATACCTTCACTGTGTCCATCTTGTTTTCATTCCAAGTTGTTAGCTTGGATGAATTATTTTCAGTGCTCTCCTTCGCTGGCTTGCTCTTGCCGATGTTGACATCGTGGCTCGTTAAATAGGTCTGATGTTCCTTCGTTACGATGTGTACGTTGTCTGGAGATTCGATTGTTTTATAATATCTATGATAATTTTTATACACTTTATACTACGTATTCAAGCTTTAAAATTAGATAAAAAAATTGATTTCTTATTTATTAAATTCAACACCAATTTCAATTAATTAATTAATTAGTTTATTAATTTATTAATTAATTCATTATATTATGGTCTTCATTCGCCGTTGGATAACTCTAAATCCCGAAAAAAAAAATTTTTAACAATCCAACAATATTTTCACCTTCAATGACAACAGTGGCTTGCGAGAGAGCTTCTCCGAACTCATTGACAGCCCTGCAGCTGTAGACGCCACTGGCGAGCGCTGGTGGCCTGGCGCAGAAAAGCAGGTAGTCGTCATCCTCCCTGCTGCATTTGAATTGGAGATCGGACTCGGTGGAATTTCCGTAGTCGTCACATTTTATCGGCACGTTGTTTCTGGTTGGAAAGTTTTGCTAATTTTGCCAAATTAATTTTTTTTGAATTTTTAATTGTATATATTTAAATTAACCTTATTCGATATTATCTAAATCATTTATTAATTACAAATTACAGTATTCATAACCTTTCAGTTAATATTTTAATGATTTAATTTTACTCTTTCAAAAGGCTATCCTACACGTTTGCAATGTCATGTTATGTCATGTCGTATTATGTTGTCGCCTTATGTGCCGTACCACATTAATAAATCAAATCTATAAACGAAAAAACTCAATTAAATTTTACTTTATGAAAATTCCAAAGCCTTATTAGATTACATTATGTTAATTGATCTATTGGCAAATTATTTAGCCTGGGTATTAAATGTTACAAATGCAAATTTAAAAACCAAAACAAACAAACAAATATACAAACAAATTAATAAATAATAAAAACAAAAAACAACCCACCTAAACCAGGTTACCGTTGGAGCTGGCTGACCGGATATGCGAGTGACTAGGAAGAGATAGTCGCCCAGTTGGATTGTCTACCGGATGTTAAATAAATAAAAATGTCATTCTATCGTCATTGTATATCTTTATCATTTCTATCTGTTATCATTATGTCTATATCATCACTATCTGTTATCTTTATATCTCTATCATAACTTTTATCATTAACGTCATCACTATAATGGGCTGTTGCCGGGTTGAATGGTCTGGAGGAAGTTTAATACATATCTAAGTCATTCTATCATCCTTATATATCTTCATCATCACTCTCTATCATCATTATATATCTTCATCATCACTGTCTATCATCATTATATATCTTCATCATCACTGTCTATCATCATTATATATCTTCATCGTCACTGTCTACCATTATATTCTTATCACCTTTATTATCATTATTACACCATCATTATCGCTATAAGGATTATAAATGTCAAGGCCGTTACCATAATTGTAATTAATTATAACTATTGTTGTTATAATTGTTATTTATACCTTCATCATCGTCGTCATCCTCACGATCACTGATATTATTAACAATCAGTATTATCATTATCATAATCAAGATAGATCATCATCATCATCGTCATCATCATTACTATCATCCGTCACCTGGTTGCTTAGTTTTTTTACAATGGTTGGTTTTTCCGGCTGCTTAACTAGAGTTTGAAAAAAAGAGATTTAATAATATTATTTTCATTGTAATTATTTTTAATTTTCTCTTAATCATTCCCCAGAGGTTGAAACCTTCCCAGAGGTCGAAACATTCTCAGAGGTTAAAAAAACGCACAGACAAAATCCACGCATTGCGCGCTCGTTACGCGTGGTAGGATTCGAACCAGGTCAGTGCATCACCGGGAGCAGGCGTTTTAACTGTTACGCTATCACGCCACAACTTAGATTATTTAAATAATTTTTTTTTTCAAGTTAAATGAAAATGAAAGAATTGAGTCACAACCAACCAGTGCTCTTGACGAAAGGTATCTTGATTGTGAAATATGTTTTGGTATTTAAAGTTAATTTAATGTGAATAAAATTTAATTTTAAACTTCAGTATTTATTTATAAAGTTAAGCAACCAGTATATCAGACATTAAAAATAAACAAATAAAAAAGAAAATAAAAATGTGAAGTTAGAGATGAAACATTTACGATGGCTTAAAGAAGTTGTGCAAGAAAGAGACCAAAATTGTACCACAATGAAATTAGGCCATAATAATATTTTTAATTATTAATTATATCTACAACAAAATCATTCCACAACTGGAGCGTGGTGAGGCGTGCTTGTACGTACTTGCTTGGCATCTCGCGGCTGGAGGTAGAGGAAGATGCTACTCCGATGTCTTTTCTTCTTTCTGTCCAATACAATCGATACACTGAGCATCCGCTTGTTGCAGTTTCTGTAGATTTGCATGGCATTGTCGTGTGAGTGGCTGCATATTTGGCGCTCACTTTTTAATTTGCTGTTGTTGGTGGTTGTGGTGGTGGTTAATTTTTTCACGATGACGTAATTTTTACTTCTCTGCTTGTCGATCATGCCATTGAACTCCACTTGCCTGCTTGCAGACAAGAACTTTTTAGGCAACCAGAATACGTTCGTTTCGTAGATTTTGGAGTTTTGGTCATGGTTTCCAAAGATTATTTCTTTGTACGTCAGTCTGGGAGGCAAAGGTTCGACACTCTTCTTGGCCAAGGTGATTGTTGTGGCGAATCTTTTTTCTGGAAGAAGGTGGGATGCTGGTGTCGCTGGATTCGATATTTCAGTTAAGATCACCATTTTGCTTCTTTACTTAAATATTCGCTCGTACAATTTATTTATTTTTATTCTTTGTAATTACTGTAAGAAAAAATTCTGCTGTCGTAAATTTTTTGCTTTAATTAATGAACAACCAAATTGTAAATAGGCCAAAATCATAAATTTTTGTATGTCCAAGTTTAGATAGATAAACTAAAGATGTGTTGCTCCTGATGACAAACAAATAAATCAGAAGTACATCCTTTCAAATGTGTAGATCAATATTTTTTACGTGTACTACTTCCAATCAAACGAGTTCGTTTAACATCCAACCAGTTGAAAAGAGTACGGCGAGATGAAACTTTTCGCTGGAACCTCGTTTCATAGATAGTTTTATAAAAGGTTTACCAGATTGAAAATCAAACTGAGCAAGTTGTACACAAACTCAGCTCTCTTTCACACTCACACACACACATACATACACACACTTGATCATTTGTTTGCTTGGTGTGCACTGTCTTCACAATACGCAATAAATTCATGAGTACTTCAGCTAGCTAGCACTTAACATCGCTAATACATACATGTTTCATAAAATTAATGATATCCAAATCTTCACTCGCATATCTAGATAGGATAGAGACATTTTTTCTTTTAAACCTGACGTACCGTAATGTAATGTTTCTTAATATGCAGCAAATGACATTTAAAAATTTGCATAACACATCTCAATAGTTTCGATGATTTCTTGAACTTTGATACCGTGATAGGTTAGGTACTCATTCATACCCACGCGTCTCTTTCTTTTTCCTTTCTCTCTCTTTTTCTCTCTCTACCTCTGTCTTTTTCACTATTTCTTTTCCTCTCCCCTCTCTTTCTTCTTTCTTTTTCTTTCTTTCTTTCTCTCTCTCTCTCTCTCTCTCTCTCCCTCTCTCTCTTTCTCTATCTATCTATTTATTATCTTTTTTCCGGTCTTGATTCTTTTTCAGTTTCTTCAGTTTATTTTTACAAATCTATCTTTCATGTTCCATATACCTATCAGGTACTTCGGCGCTTCGGCAATTGTTTATACAGAATGATTAGTTCGAGAGGGTTGTATTGTAACAAAACACTTTGTGATCTTACGAACGTTTTCGCAGTTTATAATAATAGCAGTTTTTTTTAATAAAATGACAATTGGTGTGTCGCATGTCAGATTGTGTATCTTTAATTATTTATTTTTTTCAAATTTTGTCGATTCATTGTTTTTTTTATCTTTGTATTACTTTTAAATATGTGGTAATCTATTTTTTAGGGTCTTTTCTAATTGGGTTTTTTTTTAAAACGACACTGTCAAATAGGTTTGCTTGTTGCTATTTTACAGTTTTTTTATTACAGTTTTAGATAATTTGTTAAACAGATTTTTCGCCATTTTCCACATTTCATGAAGCTTCCACCACCACCAGCAGCAACAACAACGACGACAACAAAAACAACAACATCGAAGACATACATTTTGCTTGAGTTAGGATGATATATTTTGCGATAACTAACTACGTTTTCCCATGACTGGGGGTTGCGTCACAGCATAAAATCCTAACGCAAACACTGAATGAGGAAACCATCCCTCTATTTATTTCTCACCCAAATACTGCATTCTTGTCAGTAAATAATCTAATTGTGTGTTGGCACCTGGCCGTGCCAAGCCGCTATAGTCTGGGTTCGATTTCTAAAGAGTTTTTTTATAAAACATGAAAAATTAGTTATAATAAATATTGTTTATTATATGCCACTTTCATAAAAATGTACCAAAAATAAAATTGTCTGTGTGTCTTGTGTGAAATGTTTGGGACACGTCAATCTCTGATAATTGTTGATTTTGGCTCTGATAACAAAACAGACTAATAACAAAACTCCTCGTCTGATTGCTTCGTCTGACGATGACGTAAGCTGATTCTCTTAATGTATAACACACATACGGACACTCATGTACTATAATCGTGTGAGCGTGTGTGTGTGTGTGTGTGTGTTTGTTTGTTTGTGTGTGTTTGTTTGTCTGTGTGTGTTTGTTTGTTTGTTTGTCTGTGTGTGTGTGTGTTTGTTTGTTTGTCTGTGTGTGTGTGTTTATATTTGCTGTTTATTCTCTTATTGATAATGGTTCTGTTCATCTGACCTAGATTAAATCCTACTTTTTAAAGCGTTAAATTACTTAAAAACCGTTGAAATGAAATTATTCGTGACTGATACAAAACCTTCTTAATCTCTGGGTTTTTAGAGAGCTTCACATGAATAAAAACGTCACTAGGTCTACCGCTACTCTTTGTCGAACTATTTTATGAAAAAGTGTTGTAGATAAATTTTTCATTTATACCATCTGATTGCAATCTTCTTCATTGTTAGTACGCTTAGAATCGAGTTAGCAAAGAAGATATGTGTGTATAATTAACATGTTTAAATTTAACTTTTCAATATATACATGTATGAATACAATACACATACACATGTGAACAATCAATTTATGACACTTTAAATGAAATATTAAAGAAAGGTTGTATGAGACTATGGCTGGAAGACTTACCTTTAACAACGGAGTGTTAACCAGTTGTAATTAATTAGGTTGTTTGTTTATTCATTTATTAATGCGTGTAAGCATTCAATCAATTATTTAATCAATCAATCATTCATTCATTCATTCAATCATTCATTCATTCATTCATTCATTCATGAGTGCATCCATTCAAGTTGAAGGTTTATTTTAACAAGGTCCATTACTTTCTTTCCCAGGCTCAGAGGAATCAACAGCAGACAAACATCATATTTCGTGCATGAATACGTTCCAAACGAGGCATCATAATCGAGGCATGTGATAGGCGGGGATCTTTTTGTCACATTCGAACTCGTTCACTGAACGCACCGCGAAACAAATCCAGGAGACCTTAACCAATAAGCCAGAATTTCAAAATACTTTTTAAACTCTTGAGGTTTTAAGTTTAGAGGCAAAAAATTAAACTGAACTTGAACGTTATGAGTCAGATAAACAAAACATGATTCCCTTGTCTTTCAGTTGTTTAAAAAACTGTCAGTAATTAAAAAAAATCTTGTGTTACAAAATGTGTGTCCCAAAAAATGAGAATTCTGTTTCAGTATGTCAGATGACTGCTGCCATGTTAAGTAAGGTCGTCAATTTTATTTTAAACTCACTCTGATTGAACATGAAACTGCAAAAATTTTATATTTCTAACTTGCAAAAAAGTTGCCTGAACCCAAGTAACATTGGGAAGGAAGAACTGATAAATCACATTAGCCAAATATGTTTGTGTTTCTATATACCTTCCTCATTTTTATTATTACGTTCAAATGTGTTGTTTTGAAGGGCAGTTGACATTGACAGACTCAAAGTATTTTCAAAGTATTTATTCAAAGTATTCCTCATTTTAAATATTAACATAAACATACACTTGACTTGAACGAGAGAAGCAAACAGTCCACTGCACGCGTAGCAGCAGTTGTTAAATTATTATTTAAATTTTTATTAATTCTCACCAACATGAACAATGCACGGTGCATGTGAATAAAATGCATGAATATTCTTTTTACGCAAACATATCTCAGACGAATTTAATTTACAAATCAAAAAATTCCATCGAACGCGCAGAGCTCGCATGCATTTGAAACAAGTCACGCTGTCATGAAAACAGTAGACGACCGAATTTGCACCTTTATAAGAGGCCCTCTTAGCAAATAAATAAAAAAGGGTGAGTCACAAAAATGTGTGAGTCATTCCCAAGGTCAGCTGAACGACGTCTGTACAAAAAGGGGGCAGCCGGAGTTGAACCGGCGACCTCTCGATCTGCAGTCGAATGCTCTGCCACTGAGCTATACCCCCGCACGATGGTCCCATGCTTAATTTTAACTTGATGTTTCTTCAGCAGATCAAAACGTGTATGTAATATTACAATTGTATGAAGATGTTTATCTCTATGTAGTGGGTGACTTAAAACCAGCTTCTAAATAACTCAAATTCAGATGCTAACAACGAATTTATAATGAAAAAACAGTTTATTATCCATTACATTGCAATTGACATTAAATTTAATCATGAATTGATCAGGATAAATGATAATAATAATAAAATAGTTGCAATAATAATAAAATTATTACTATTATTTATGAAAGTTGAGATATTGATGACTTATTTTTCAGTAATAATAATATTATTATTAACATAAGTAAGTATTAGTGTTATTATTATTATCATCGATCTTATATAATTATACACTAGCAAGTTATCATCATGATATTATATCACCCACTCACTTTCAATGATAATTCTAATCATTGTATCATCATGTTATTGGTATCAGCAGACTTCATACTGATATATGAGTAAGTATGTTTACATTTTTATTTATTAATTGAAAACGCACCCGAAGACATCAGCAATTACGTCATTTTTGTTTGTTTTTTTCAGAAGATTTTTTCAAATTTTTTCTATAATGTTATTTTTAATTATTTCTGTATTATTGCGGTCTAATCACACATATTATTTTGCAATAATGTTGATTTAAATAAATAAATAAATAATAATATTTGTGGTCCAGTTAAATAGTAGCTCGAAATCGAAGTTTTATTTTACAAACCAATTGCATTTCATTTAGAGGGTACAACTTTCAATGAAAAATTTTGTTGATTAAAATACTGATACTTCTACTACTACTACTACTACTACAACAACTACTACAACAACAACAACAACAACAACAACAACAACTACTACTACTACTACTACTACTACTACTACTACTACTACTACTACTGCTGCTGCTGCTACTACTACCACTACTACTACTAATGTTGTTGTTGCTGCTTTTATTACTGCTATTACTCTACTACTACTAATGAAAATAATGATAATAGACAAAGAAGCAAATGATCAAATGGGAGATTGATTGAGGTTCACAACACTTGTCATACTAAATTAACTTTATTTCAATTCCCACCTTGTAATGTGCGGACCAGGCAGGGTTTTTGCGCTTGTAATAGTTTTGAATTTCTGAATCTAACCTTTGGTAGTAGTTATAATTATAGTAATATAATAATAAATTTCTAATAATATTATTATTATTATAGTTGTTATTATTATTGTTATTAGAAACACGCCGAGTGCTCCGTTTGGTCGTATTCCGTCAAAATTCGACATTAGTCGAATTGGGTCATTTCCATTTAAAAGCCATCCTATCTTTACCATTCCAGAACAATGATTGTTGAATATTATTAGAGAAAAATTACTTTTGTTCATTGTAAGCGTTAAATCGTATAAATTTGAAGGAGTTAAATATTGTCCCGATAAAAAAACTGTTGGAGAGACACGAATCTGCCTACTCTCGTTTTCCATAACTTGTTTTTTATTCTGCAACATCAACTTTTCCCAAATGTTGAGTTTTTTTGGTTTTCGGCCTTTGGCTTTGACCGAAGAGTGATTCTCTAATTATTATTATTATTAAATTATTATTATTATTAAATCATATTATTATTATAATGTTAATGACACTGTCAACAATGACAATATAATAATAATAATAACATCAAAAACAACAATGATAATAATATTGATATCAACAACAACGACAACAACAATAATAATAATATAATAATAGTTATAATATTAATAATAATTGTAATAATTAATTACGGTTGACAATAATGAATGATGATTAATAACGAGCAAAGTGCACCGTTCAGCATGTAACAAGCAGTCACAAAAGCATTGTTTGGTTTTTGATATAACAATAACAACACGAATAACACGATCCTCTAGCAAGCAACGCGTTATTTGTTAATCACATTCAAGTTTCGCACTGCAAAAAGCAACCCCTTCTAAACATGTATATGCATTCTATTAGATTATGCATCCAAATGTACGTATACATATATATATATATATATATATATATATATACAAATTATGGTCTATTACCAACATATATATATATATATATATATATATATATATATATATATATATGTGTGTGTGTGTGTGTGTGTGTGTGTGTGTGTGTGTGTGTGTGTGTGTGTGTGTGTGTGTGTGTGTATTTATAAATTCAAATTGTGGTACACACATATGAATGGTTAGATACATTTCATACAGACATACACTCACACACAACATACGTACACACCAATACACATGCATACGGACACACACACACACACTCTCAAACACACACACACGAACGCACACGCACGCACACACAACCTGTGTGATCGATCAATACATTTTTACCTGATAAAAAAACTCGTATGATAGATTTGTATGAATTGTATAAGATACAGAGTTTGCCGTATTGTAAACGGATATAAAATAGGGTATCATTAATGGTGATAGTATATCATTTCAACAAAATTTAGTTTGAACGAAAGAAAGATGATTTGAGTAAAAGAAAGCGAGATAAAAAGATAAAACAATGACGGATAAATAAAAAGAAAGATGAAGAGAAAAGGAGTGACAAATAAAAGTTTACAAATAAAAGAAAAAGTAAAATTAAGAGAGAGAGAAGGAGAGAGTGAAAGAGGGAGAGAATGGGGTGGGGTAGGGTGAATTGGGCTTTGATAGTGTCGCCCTCTTCTTAGCCTTCCTCCATTTCATCCACACGTGTGCTGCAGCCGATGTTGTTGCTGGCGTCATTGTTGATGATGTGATAGTTGATGATGTCATTGTTGTCGTTGCTGTGGCTATCGTTGTTGCGGCTGTCGTTGTTGCGGTTGGGTGTGGTCATCTGTCGGTCAGTTATACACATTTCATAGCATCTTGGTTATTTTTTTTAAGTTTTTATTTTTGTCATAAATTATTCTAAAGTATGCCAAAGTATTTTTAAAGTAAAAATAATCTGCTTACATTTAAGAAGGAATTGTTAAAGAATATCCTCTTATGAAAGTTTACGATGTTTTGCCTCATATACAGTGGTTGCATGTTGTCGAAACTGTTGCTAGCATTGTTGCTGACATTGTTGATGTTATTGTTGTTGCAGCTGTTGTTGGCGGTGTTCTGCTTGTTATTTCTTTTGCTAGATGGTTTATAA